CGACGTGAAAGAAGGACAAACAAATACACTTACACATTTATAATATTAGTATGGATGTACTCTGTCCTTGAAGCAATGTAAACAATATATATTTACAACCTTGATATAATAAAATCATTTACAAGGCAGTGTGTAGAGCGGAATGCTTAGTTTGATTTTATACGGTTGAGACTACTCTATGAAACGAAACTTACGGACTGAATATTACTTTGTGATATGGACTATATCTATACTTATTATAAAAATAAGTCCCCCGGCCGCGTCTTTCTGTCCTCCTGTCTGTCTGTACGCGATAAACTCGAAAACTACTGAACGGATTTTTATACGGTTTTCAACAATAGAAAGAGTAATTCTTGAGGAAGGTTTAGGTATATAATTTATTATGCTTTTATGTAAATTAGCTGAAATACGGCGACAAATGTTGAAGAGGTCGCAAAAAATCTCGCCAAATGGGAACTTTCCACGCGAACGCCGCGTAAACTAGCAAAGATACAGTTAAGTAATGTACTAGAGAATTCAAAATCTATAAAAATGCTACAAAAAAGTCCGCGATAGCATATCTCTATCTCTTACGGTTGACTTACAATAACCACTTTTATGTTAACATTTTTAATTAAAAACATTACGTTATTTTCAAAGTTATTTTCTTTAGTTCGGTATTAATCCTTATCCAAATGAATATTTTAGTTAGCTTAGTCATTTAATGCAGATTAAAATTGCTCTTTACACTAAATCAATCAGATGAATAGTTTTTGAGATATCGTTGTTAGAAGTAATTAGTAGCGAAACATTTTTAATGCTTGGCGAGCATTGAGATGCCTACGGCGAGTCCATCCCCTCTGCCCCGCATCGCTCGACCGCCTGCTCAAGCTATATAAACCGGGCGATGTAGCGCGCGATCCTAGGATACTTTTTACCGCGGGAAAATATCTTATTTCTGAGGAAAAATACAAAAACTGCAATGTAAGAGTATACTAATATGTAACACCTAAGAATTTAGTTTTTGGTCATCTGAACGCGGGCGGAGCCGCGGGCAATGCTAGTAAAGTATAAATAATACTAATACAGTATTTAGTAGCTAGCTGTTTTAATAGTTTCCTTGCAAAGAGTTTCTACTGTAGTTTTTAATAAGTATATATTTTATTTATACATATCTTTATATATATAATTCTTCTGTGAGTGTGTATGTCACTGAACTTCTCTCAAACGACTGGACCGATTTTGATGAAATTTTTTGTGTGTGTTCAAGGGGATCTGGGAATGGTTTAGATTCACAATTTGAATAATAATTTTCATCAAAAAAATTATTAAAAAAAGTTTGAAATTTTCAAATTAAAGATGTGTAGACAGGACAACGTCTGTCGGGTCCGCTAGTTTACTCTAAACTACTAACTTGTAGTTTTTAATTCGCATTTGACTACTCTAACATCTATTTGAAATGCATTTACTAGCCATGATGCTAGAGGCGTACAGCAAGGAACTAATGGATGGGACGTGGCAGAAAAGTACCATATATATAGAAGTTGTCAAATTTTACTCAAAGGAAACATTACTTTATTATAAAAAATAATAATAACTGCATTTAAATTTATTTAACAAGCTTACCTGAAGCGGTAATCGAACCACCTTACCTTACCTTCAGGTAAGTTTTTTAAATAAAATTTATATGCAGCTATTTTTTTTAAGTAATGTTTCTTTGAGTAAAACTTTATAACTTCAATACTTATTTAAGGCACTTTTCTTCTACGTTCCATCTATTTGTTGCAGCCTGTATACTACCTACATAGTCTTTATACTTAAATAGTAGAGATACTCGAGTCATAATCAGATATGCTAACTGTGCAAATCTAGTAAATAGACAGACAATCTGTGTTCATAAATACTGCAAATGAGTACTAACAACAGAGTGACCCACTTCAAAATGCGCACGTCACCCCTTATATAGGGCCGAGGGAAACCGTTATGGGAGTCTTTCTTTTGAAGAAAGCAAGTTACGGAGTTGGGCATACGGTAGCTTGGTAGCAAAGATAAGCCCGTGCGTATCGTATACAATTAGCTATGAATCGTAAAAGGTATCGAGTGTCCGGTGCGGCGCTTGCGGCCGGTGACTCATCCGGTGGCTGCGTAGTGGGATCACGTATACGATAGGTACGATACTTTAGAATTATTATACATATGACATACGGGTCATTACTATTACATAAATATGTAATATGTATGGAATTATTTACAACTAAATTGCAAGTTTATAATAGTGATTTAAGAAAATAATATTACGGTTTGTTGTCAAGACTCCTTGACAATATAACTAAAGTATTACCTATACATATAATAAAATTGTAACTAAGCCGAATCTGTACATTATATATTTTTTGGAAAATCTTACTTGAAATAGACATTATTATCGATACAGAGACAGAGTCTATAGTTTTTAGGCTGATCAAAATCGATACTAAACGATAAAACCGAAAGTAGAGACGAACCCGAGCGAAGCGAGGGTGAGTCGCTCGTAATAAATAAAGTACATATCTCAATAAATTCTTCCACTTTTATTTAAGGTGATTGAACTTTTATAGTTTCCAGCGCAGTAATTTGGACGCTGAATAAGACAATATCATATAAAAATATATATTATGTATAAGCAATAGAGTGTTATCGTAAATGACGTAAAAATACCGTGAATTGATTCGTAATATGTTTCGTAATAGGTAGGTATGTATTACTTTTGATAGCCTCCAAGGCTATATCATTCGTAAAAGCTACGTAGGTACGAAGGTCGACAAACTCGTCAAAGTGCGGCTACAACACGTTTCCGTAATACAAGTACCTCTTACTTCCTCGCTCCCTGCAAATAAATGATTAGTGATTGCGACAGAATCATCGCAGAAGAAAGAATTAAAGTGATTTGAATCATCGCAAGGGTAATGGGTATAATATTAAGGAAACACGTCATTATCAGAAATTTGCGTTACACAAAAGTTTAAGTATACTCATTAGCATTTACGTAAATGACAAATAGTACCTATAATTATCATCATTACTAATTGCTTCTTAACGAAGTAGCCAAATATTACATTTTCATTTTAATCTAACAGTTTTTCATTTATAAAGTAAGGACAGTATCTATAAATAGAAATATGTTAATGTTACGAACTTTGGAGACCTTATGAGTGAGTGAATTTGTAAACCAATCTAAATATATGTATAAATAACAGATTTTTAACACGTTTCATCCTCGCCACAAGATATATGCACATAATATTATGTATGTCTCAGAACGCATAATCCTTTATTCCTTCGTCAACTTGTTTTCATCTTTTTAGTTAGCTTTTATGCAGTCGGAATTTTTATTGTTATAATATACCTACCTATACTTTTTTGATTTCTTTAACTTTCATGTAATAACATCGAAGCGAATCGAAACAATAGTCTGATGGACGTGATTTTTTGCTTAGAGATAGTAATTAAGTTACAAAAGGTTCCTGAATCATTAAGGGAATGTAGGCTGGATCTAAGCGAGGCGAGGGCGAGTTGCTATCTAGTCCTTGCCGATTTTATAAATGCGAAAAAAGTATAATGTCCCAAAAAAAAAAATGTTTTCTTTCTTTCACGCAGAAAGTCATTGACATACATAAAACTACAAAAAAATATATATTTAAGATCCCAGAATGACTAAGGTAACATGGAACTCATACATTATGTGGTTTCAGTGAAATATTATAAGTTTTTAAAGCTGCACCTAAATAATAAAACACATAAAAGACAATAAAAGCTGCATGTTATACTTAAAGCCTTGTTTGATTTTTCTATTATTAAAATAATAGTTTACTATTGTTTGAATGGATTTAGTGCAAGTGAAAGTAGTTTTTGGTGCTAATGTTTCTACCCACACCTTCAACCCACTATTTCCGCTGCTTTGACCCATTTTCGTAACTACTATGCATTTTTACATAGCCATTATTATCTGTTGGTTATTAATATATTTTTTGTTTCATACAATGTACACCCACACACTACATTCATTTTGTTTGTATTATTTGATAATTTGACACATTTATTTATAGGATTGTGTATTTCTGTTTAATCTTGCCAAGCACTCAGTAGAAGTTTACAAGCCTTTGTAGTAAAGAGATAAAACCAATCACAACTACTACTGTAGTTATGATTGAGTACTTAGTGCCTTTAGTCTACTAAACTATACTCTAGTATTGAATAAAAACATATGGAATTATACAAGTATTCTAATTACCATTATTTAGAAAATCACATAATTTGCTTTAGTTTTAAACTATTTTCATCATGAAGCAGACAAAGAAGAATTTTGGTACATTTTTCTCTCTTTTCTGCTTTTCAACAACTTGCACTCACTAACACTAACATAGTACCTTGTATTCATTAGATTCTAAGAAATAAGTTGAAAGTTCCATAAGAATTTTCAAAATGCCCCTTAAAGTACTATAAGTCATCCGCATAAGACACCTGTACCTAAAGATCACATGTTTCTCTTATTTACCTTAGGGCATAAGAAGACTAAAGCAGATGCCTGAGCTTAAACTTTGACAAAATATTAATTAATACTTTATTAGGGTCAGTAGCACTTAAAGAAACAGCACAATGACAGATAAACTAAATAAACAGGATGAATATATACTTAATGAATTATTGCTTTATCCACATAAAGACAAAATGGATGTTTAATATTAATATTAATTATAATATTATGAATGAAACTAAAGGAAGATTTATAATTTTATTAAAGAATAATGCTCTAATTTGAAAAAAAAAGCTAAATATAATTCTTTGGTTTTTTAGCATCTTTCCTTATATCTTTGTATATACAAAAATAATGACTATTATAATAAAATCACGTTAGTAAACAAGATTAATTTCAAAGACATTTAGGGGTAAAAATACTTCAAACCATTATCTGATTACTAAAGAGATTCTCATTAGAATAATTTTAAAGACCCATAAAGTACAATAAAGGTTAAAATGCTTACCTATAATAAATAATGTGCTTCCAAATAGGCATAATGTGAGTCGTATACAAAGTGCTCGATTCAAGCTACTTGTCACGCGCCTTGAGAAGTAGCTGATCGGGCAATTCCAGCGTTGATCATTCGGTTGCTGCTCATATGTTACAGTTGTCGGCTGATATACAGCACTTGTAGGCATTGTGAAATTATTTACTAAAAATAGTACACTCAAACTAAATCACCACTTCTTTGTGCACTCACTTCACCACTAATTGTTAATGTCGACGATATTTTACTCGTTTAACTATTATAATTGTGCTTCCTTAGCTTATTAATGATTTTATTAAATTATAGCAATGATATATATATATTTTGTTTATAATTATAACAAAACAAATGTTAAGTGACGCTTAAAATTGAAGTGGTCGCGTCGCGTCAAGAATCGAAATAATCACGAATGATGTCAGACAGATTCAGTCGTAAATTGTAATGATTTGACAGCACTGAGCAGTGAGCACTGGCCAAAGAGTATAGATATATATGGCACTGGCCGTGGCCACTGACAAAAATTTCTATATTGCCAGCAATAAAATTATAGCTACATACATCTTTGCCATAATGTGTGTGGCTCACTGTATCCTTGTATTATTATATGATCTGTGCTGTCTTTAAATTTAAAAAACGTTGAACGCTAAAAGTACTATTTTACAGCGAAAATAGTGGAACGCTTTAATAATCTTTTTTAACCAAACCTTTGTTATATTAATAAAAAAATTGGAAATAAAAGTGTTATGGATATATTTTAACTTGTTTTAAGCGTTATAATAGAATATGTGTTAGTGATAAATTGTAATGACTTATTTGTCATCCATGGTGATGACTGATGTCTGTTTAATATGATAATACTACTATTATAGTATTATAATCTGTGATAATACTATGTTCCTTCTTCAACTTGTTCTCAATTCTCATCTTTTTAGTTCGATTTTTACCATCTATCCTTTTTGAAGTAAAACTTCTTTAGTATCCTTGTGATTTGAAACTCGATGAAACGGAAATGCGACACAGAAAGACACAAACAATAAATATATGGATTAAGCCGGCAAGAGAATGAGATAGAGTACACTATAGAGTGAAAAATAATACTAAATATAATATGTTATGTAATATAAGAAAGTTTTCGAGATATTTGCAGAAAACTCGGTTTTTAACTTTTTCTTGGTTTATTATTTTTAATTTCTAAAATAATCTTTTGATTTTCATGAAAGTTGATGAAACTAAGGGAATGTAATCTTCGAAATACATATAATCTCAGACCAATAAACTTTTTTATTGGTCTGAGTATATAATAAATAATAAAAATTGAAATGTTTAGCCATTTCCGAGGAAAGTATGTTTTATAGTCTCAAGAGTCCACTTGAAGTTGGGGGTGATTTTCAGCCTTGTTTTCGAAGATTACATTGCCTTGGTTTCATGAAAATATATATAATAAAGTATATATATGTACAAGAATTGCTCGTTTAAAGATATAAGTACCTGCAGGCGACCGAGCTCCGCTCACAGTTTTTGGCCAAAAAACATTTACAAAAAATTGAATAAATAAAAAAAAAAACAAAAGAAAAAACTTGTATCCGATCAGGATACGTACTCAGACACCTTTGGTTGTCAAACTTGCACCTTGGCTGCTTGACCACGAGGCTTTTGTCCTAGCGTGTATGTGAATTAGCGACCATATTTTACGTGGAATAATGCGAAACAAAACCGCATGAAAACTCGAAAACACGCATTTTCCCAGACAAAACTAATCTAGATCGATTTATCGTCCCTGAAACCCCCTGTATACTAAATTTCATGAAAATCGTTGGAGCCGTTTCCGAGATTCAGATTATATATATACAAGAATTGCTCGTTTAAATATATTAGAACATTACAAAGAAATAAAGAACAATAATGTCACTTTATCTATACATATAATAAAATTGTGGCCAAGCCGAATCTGTACATTGAATATTTTTTGGGAAACTTTATTGAAATAGACATTATTATCGAAACAGAAGCCGAATCTATAGTTTTTAGAATATTTGGCTGTCTGTCTGTTACCGCATCACGGAAAAACCACTGGAGGGATTTTGATGAAATTTTAGTATGATGATATCTGGCTATCCGGGTCAACATATAGGATACATTTTACTGCGGGAAAACATCTCATTTCTGAGAAATCTATACAAAACGTTAAAACGTAAGTAGAGACGAACCCGAGCGAGCGAGGGCGAGTCGCTAGTGAACATATATATTTATAATTGCGTTAACTGTTGTCCACTCGAATATATCTACACGAAATTTTGCTGGCGCCAACTTCAGAGCGGCCAAAAGTTTGGACGAACTACATAATAACTATACCTACCTTTTTATACAAAACTAGCATTGCCCGCGGCTCCGCCTGCGTTCAGATGACCAAAAACCAAATTCTTAGGTTTTACATATTATTAGTATTCTCTTACAATGCCGTTTATGTATTTTTTCTCTGAAATGATATATTTTCCCGCGGCAAAAAGTTTCCTATATGTTGACCCGGATAACCAGCTATCATCATACCAAATGTCATCAAAATCTGTCCAGTGGTTTTCTCACGATGCGGTAACAGACAGACAGACAAAAATTCTAAAAACTATAGAATCACACTCTGTATCGATAATAATATCTATTTCAATTAGATTTTCTAAAAAATATTTAATTTACAGATTCGACTTAGTTACAATTTTATCATATGTATAGATAGATATACACATAATATGAAGATTTTATACTATTTCCCGTAAATTACGCAGTATTATGATATTGAATAAAATTTTAAGTGCAAGAAATATACTAGCGGCTCACCCTCGCTTTGCTCGGCTTCGTCTCTAAACAAAATAGCCTATGTGTTATTCCAGACTATAATGTATCTCTGTACCAAATTTCATCATTTCATTCATACAGATCCGTTCAGCCGTTTTGGCGTGAAAGAGTAACAAACATCCATACTCACAATTTTTCACTTTTATAATACTAATACGGATGGGTACCTACAATTATTATAACAAGTCAACCTTACCTCTACTACGCATATTGAGAAAAAAAATTGTTTCTGCTAGTTTGATGCGAAATAAAAAACAGTAATATTGTGCAAAAATATTATAGAATATTTTAATGTAAGTTTTATTATCATTAAAACATTTTACTTAGCTAACAGTCATGTATATCTAAAGCTATCACTATATCGTTATTTTATGGGTAAAAGGCACTCATTCTTGTTATAAATATATTTTCTCACATCTCATCATATAAAATCATTATATTACAATCATACATTTATGTAAAACATTTGAATATAACAAGTAAATTATTAAAATTAAATATTTGTCTATGCTGAATAATTAATTTTAACTAGTAAATTAATAGTATATACATGTATATTATAATTCTTGATTTAAATAATAAGGCACCTTACGAGCAATCGCCTCAAATCCAATATGGAAATTAAAATTCTTTAAGCTACAACACATCACTTGTGCTTTGTACTGAAATAACCAGTTATATATACGTTAACATGTACTGTGATAATACTTTTTTTTTAAATGACTACTATTTTTTGTGGAAATAATGTGGTACATTTGGTACTATAATGTTGTATGAATATAACAAGTCGTCAAATCACAAACATACAATATTGACATTATTATTAATAATGAGCATAGCAAATTGCGTGAATATTTATTTTTATTATAATCAATGGTATTCAAATTTGCACGAAACCTTACAAATTTTGCTCCTAACTCCTATCTTAGGCCTGAAAATATACTTTCATTGGGGCATTACATATACGAAATTTTACAGGAAAAATGTGCTCTGTACATTGCTCAAGTGCTAGTAATATTGTAATTCAGAATAACTATTTATGTAAACAAATCCCATTAATATGAATAACATTTCATAAATACTATTAAAATATCATTTAATAAAAGTAGGATAAGTTAAAAATAATGGAAGTACTTTATAATAATATTGGGTAGCTATATTTTAATCTAGTTTATAATATTCACGTTATAAGAAAACTAAGAGAACATTTGATTGAATGTGGCTAGGTATTTTATAGGACAATGTAACTTTTTGTATTTTGTATTCACAGAATATCAATTTCATAGAATCGTATACGATATCAAATTTTTCAAAAAGATAATTAATTTTTAATAATTTTGTCATGTCCATATATATTCTTTAAATTCGTCAGTCTCAAAAATTACTTACTTTTTTGTTAGCTCTCGTCTTACGTAATATTAATCGCAGCACAGCTTTATATACAAAATTTAGAACACAACGAAAGGCAACTAAGACTAATATAATATCATTCGACGGCGAACCCGGCCGTCTCTAGGACGGCTTGCTCGAGTTTGTCGTGTAGCTTTTCTTTATTGGGATATGGCGGTAAGTCGAGACGATTGAAGCAGGTGTGCGCTTTGGGGAGCGAGTCGGGGGACGCGTCTGCTACTAGATGTAGAGTGAAAAGTCTGGGTGCAGCGGCGCCGGTGGAGCCTTGCAGGGCGCGGAACCCAGCTAGGGGGACTCGTCGTGAACCGGTGACGAATTGAAGTAAACGAGCTCGCATTTCCGGGTCGAACTCCTCGACGATTTCCCAGAACCAGTTGACGATAGGGGCGTCGGGTGCGACGTGTTTGAGGCGGGTGTGTCGTCGCCAGTCGGCGGGGTCGAGGTCGGCGCGGCCGGCCAGCAGCGGCGGCAGGTCGCGCGGCGACAGCGGGCGCAGCAGCTGCGGCGGCACGAGGTCGGCCAGCCCGCGCTGCAGCGCCAGCCACTGCCGCTCGGCGCCGCGCGTGAACCGGTGCGCCACGTACAGCCGCACGTACTCGCGCTTGTTGGCGTCCGTCACAGCTTCGGCCGCGCCGCCCGGCCGCAGCTCCACGCTGCGCACCGCTCCGAATGATGAGCATTCCACGGAGAATGTTGTGTCTATCACGCCTGCTATACTGTTGTCCCTTTATATGAAAATAAATATAAGTTTAGCGAGCTTATTTTTGAAGAATCATAGAAAAATCTTGGGTGATGCAAATGTGTAATTTTTTTTATACAGAAACATACTCAAACAAAAGGAAAACAATAATTAGGTAACCATGTGGTACTACAGTCAAAGAAATATATTGTCGTAAGAAGTCACCAATGGAGTTTGGACAAAATGTCATAAACGAAAAGCTGTCAAAAGGCGATTTTCCCATAGATTTTGTATGGCAATAACAATCCGTGACGTCGCTATTTGCCAACTCCATTAACTCAATAACTGAAAATTAATCAATTCGAGAACTTATGTCTTGGAATTATTGAATCCAACTACCGAATTATAACTAATGGACAAAAGCTCTCTTGAATACACTCATTAATTTATTACAAAATTAAAAAACCGTGACAATATATGTTTGAAAGTACTTACAGCATCCACGACAATGATCTATGTAATTCAGGATCCACATCACGAATATCCTTCAGAGTTATTGGTCTTCCTAGCAACTGCTTATAAAAAGGTACTGTAAAGGCAGCATCCAGTTGGTGGCCGTGGAACAATGCCACTCCCAAAATACGTCCCGCAAAATGGAAGTATGATAAGTGCTCAGGGTTAACCTTGTAATAATAATTAAAAGAAAAAAAGCTGATGATTGTTGTTATGTAATACTAGAAAAAATTACATTTTATAACATAAATACAAATAATATAGGGTATGTCGTGAGTTCAATTTCTGCACGGGAAATACATACTTAATTGTGGTGTCTTTATAAAGCTCTAAATATTCAAACTTAATGGTAATTAAAATTAGATGTTGTTTTCTCTCTATGTCACCATAAAAAGTATAAAGGCATGAAAAAAAATGTTATGCATGAGATGCAGTACAGGTGCTTGTGCACAAATACATAACATTGTACACTTTTAGGTTTATGTCTACAGATACGTGAAGTAGTTTAATTTCGTAATATCCGAAAAGACCGTGAAAGATCAAGCGCAATTAAGTTTCTCCTTTTACTTTAGTTTTTTACGTAAGTTTTGAGAAGTTTTTACAAAAAAAAACCATAATCTACCGACACGGAACTCAAACCTAGGCTATAATAATCCAATAAATAATCCAATCCAAGACGCTCGTAATTCAGTTCAATTAGTACGAGTGTCATAGATTTGTATGATTTTTTGTATTTGATAAATGAATAAATAAATAACAATAAGAAGCATGTGCACAAACTATACATATATTAGAACGAGTAATTTCTAAAAATAGCATCATAACAAACTTACGCCTGAATCAGCATTGATTTGCAAAGCATATCTGTCGTCACCAGCGTTTGCATACTGGAACAGACCATAGTGAGGATTGAAGAGTTCCCTCCCCAACAGATGGAGCCACTCCCTCGCGACGCCGCCGTAGTCGAGCCCTTCCTCGCCGCGGAACTTGACCAGCAATCGTTTCCGTAACTCCTTGCCTCGTAACTTCATTACGAGCCGGTACGATTCTTCTAGTACTTCGTTACGTGACACCTGAAATATTTTGTATTGGTGTAGATAGTATTTTTTACGAAAAAAAAAATTAATTTATACAGATTTTTTTTATGAACATTATAGATAAAAATATTGACTCTTAAAAAACTAAATTTAATTGTCTATTTATCTTCTCATAGTTCCTATTACTATTTATAGACCACGTAGCAAACATTATGCATGTAGGGATAGACAAGGGAGTTGAGCTTCAAGTAGCTGTAAAATGAGTTAGCTGTACTTTACCAAATTAAACGCTTCAATACTGGTAATGCCATATTTTTATCATTATTCTGTGTGGTGGTAGTACATATTTCCCCAGTCAACCTAGCCTATTCATGCTCACAAGAGGGATTATCTAGGACGGTTATAGGACATAAATTATAAACCTACACGAAAATAAGCTACCAGTGTTTTAAATTTGTTTATTAAAGCAAAAAAAATGCCTTTCAAGAACTTTCGCTATCCATCCATACTAATATTATATATTCGAAAGTGTATTTGTTTGTTCTTCTTTCACGTCTAAACGCAATGACGGATTGGCGTGATTTTTTGTGTAGAGATAGTTGAAGGTCTGGAGAGTGACATAGGCTACTTTTTACCGAAGAAGTGTCTAATTCCCACGGGAAAACACGCTATAATGCAATAAAAAAAATATGTATGATCAGAATTACTTGAAACTTGGTATTAATGCTCTTCAATTAAATTAAATAAATATGTGTTTTAGCAGTTTTCGAAATTCATTCTATAAGGGGATAAAATAATACATGAAAGTTTGTATGAAACTTCCTTTTTAGAGATTTTTTTGTAGTTTTAGCGCGAGCGAAGGCGCAGGTTCAGCTGGTAACATTATAAATGTAAGAGGCATCTAGGTAATTAATATTATAATTATACAACATAATGTTACCTCAATCCGACAGTGGCCAGTCTGCGGCTGCAGCGCCTGCAGCTCGGCGCGCAGCACGCGCGCTTTCGCCGCCAGGTCGCGCTTGTACTTGGGCAGCGCGTCGGCGTCCGGCGGCTCGGCGGCGGGCGGCGCGGCCGGCGCGCTGCTGGCCACCGGCGCGTCCGATGTTGGACTCTGGAGTTCACAGATGGAACAATTGTATTTAGCTGAATGGAAGCATTATTATCTATACATATAAAAAAAACTGTATAGGTCGAATGTCTGTACATAGAAAAATATGCTAAAAATCGAGGCAGGAGGATTTAAGAAGAGAAATAGAACAAATCCAGTTTTTTTCATTTTTTTTGTTTTTCTGTCTGTTTGTACAAACTAATCTCCGAAAGTATTGGACCGATTTAAATGAAATTTTGCGTAGTGGTATCTTATATCCCTGGTCAACATATTAGATACTTTTCATCCCGGAAAGTTAAAGAGTTCGCATGGGATAGTTAAAAAACTATAATAACATATACAGCTAAGTACTCAAAAACTACTGATTGGAATTTAATGAAACTTTACAATAATATAGTTCATACATCAGAATAAAAAATAGGCTACTTTTTATCCCGGAAAAATGTACGGTTCCCGTGGGATAGATTTGTTTCTGTTATATAATAGTCTATATCCGACATCGGTGCACTTCGGGACGCATCAGAGCGAAGTGAGAGTAAGTCGCTAGTGAGTTCATAAAAGCAGTCACTTGACAAAATATAATATTATTTTCTTTTAAAACAATGTATAGGCCTCTTCCTAAGTTGAATCAAGTTAAAAATAAGATTAATTTATGAAAAACTCAAAGTAGTAATCACATAGCAAATAAGCATTCAATAATCATGTTTGACAACATTAAAAACTCATAAGTGCAAAAGATTTAATGGCAGTCAATAATAAAATATTACAATTCACTCACAAGTCTAGCGGAGAGTGCGAGACGTGGGTCAGTGAACTGGGTAGTACGGTTGTTGTGGTCCACAAAGTATGGTCGTCCGGATGGCGCGTGCCGCATCTCCCAGCCGGGCGGCAGCGGGCCGGCCGTGGCGCAGTGGCGCAGGTGCTGCGGCACGCGCGGGTCGTGCCACGTCGACGCGCCCGTCACCTTGTTGTAGAAGTACACCTGGCCTTGGGCTGTTGTTCGCATTTCTGTTGGTGGATGAATGACAACAGTTATTAAAATTATTATACGCTTACGACTTATGCTAGTTTCGCTCGGATGCTTCCCTTCTGATCTTACAGGGCCGTGGTCGAATGCGCAAGCGATCCCGTGGCCCTGTCTCTTGCGATCGGGATCACCGTGTTGGTTTTGGTGTAGGGTAGTCTGTCGCGCTTCTCGTGATATGAAGATAATATGATTTGTGACAGTAAACATATTTTTATCGAAATAAAAAATATACCATAGCACTCGGCGATAATGGTAGCTTCCCGTAAATGGAAAATTTTCTGAATTTACACTAACTTACTAACTTTACCTCTTTATAATATTAGTGTAGATGGAAAAGGAAAGTCTGAGATTACATACTAAGAATAAATCATGCTTTAATTTACACATTAAACTTAGTTAAAATCAATTATGAAAACCGATTCAAAACTGGCGGTAAATCGAGCAACATATGAACACACACAAAAAAAATACTGTACAATTGTGTACCCCCACCCCCTCTTTTTTTGAGATAATTAATATAGGCAAAATACTAGTTAAGTCTAATACTAATATTATAGTAGCTTGTTTGTCTGTTTGAACGCGCTAATCTCAGTAACTACTAACCCGATTTGAAAAATTCTTTTCGCATCGGATAACCTGTTTATTGAGGAAGGCTATATACCATCATATATGGCTATAGGCCATATATACTACCCAAGGGAGCGGAGCAGTAATCATAAATGTCAACAAACCGGGCAGACTTCCATACATTATTGTAAAACTGATGTTTATATAATCAAATAAATTTAACGCGGCTGAAACCGTGGGGCACACAGCTAGTTATAATATAAAATACAAATATGTCACCATATCCAGGTGGTAAATCTGTAGCTGCTATGGGTGTAACTGGGGCTGGTGATGATGGAGTAGGCGGTTGACGACTTCGAACTGCTGTTTGAGGTTGTGGTTCTGGTCTGAAATTTTAATGAAAATATATAAAGTTAATATTAATGTAAACTTAATTATTATATATTTATTTTATGTAATGTGGTATATTATAAATAATGCATTTAATTTATTTTATATCATACTAGCGACTCACCCTTGCTTCGCTTCGGGTTTGTCCCTAGACAAAAAAATTTCTTCCGGGATATATAATATAGCCTATAGCCTTCCTCAGTTAACGGACTATTTAATGCAAAAACAATTATTCAAATCGGATTAGTTAGTTCCTGAGATTAGCGCGTTCAACCAAACAAACAAACTCTTCAGCTTTATAATATTAGTATAGATTAGTTTTTTTAAAAGACTGTTAACTTTTTTGAATATTTGAAAAAAAAAAACTCTCAGTTAACCTATAAAAATACCAGAAAAGTATAGTAAAATAAGTATTTATTGTAAAAAATATATATATAACCTTAATGAAATAGAAGCTGCATGGCTCACATCACTCTCTGATACAGGTGAAGAGGGAGTCATTGGGGGCAGGGGAGAAAGGGGGGAGGAAGGGGTAACGGGACTGGTGCCGGGGGACGGCGATGATGGGGGCGTTGTTGTGGGAGGGGAGGCAGGGGACGTCTCTGTTGGCCGCTCCCATTGTGTCTTACGTAGAGCGTGGTTAACATAATATGGCCTGGAATATTGATATAAGTAAAATAATAATTTTATTGTAAATAAGTATGTGATATGTATATTAGTTGTAAAATTCTATTTTATTTAAATGGTGTATATATCTTGTAACAATAACAAATACCACATAAATATAATATTTTCTTAGATTTATGTCATCACAATTATCACTTCAAATATAATTGTTAGAATGCTTTACATGGGTCAATCATTATGGTCATAGGAGACTTAGGTTTCTGACACCACATAGTCGTGTGTAAAGTCTATTTTTCCTTACATGTCCTAAATGGTAAATAAACACTACATTGAACGAATATCACTTGTTTTCAGACAATCACACATTTTAGATTTGGTTTTATCGTTTATAAATATTTCAGAAACACACACGCTATGAATTACATTAATAAAAGCTGTTAATTAATGATTTAAGCACATTATTTTTGCTAAAATCGAAATATTTACAGAACCTACTTCCACAGATAAAATATGAACACAACATTTTGAAGTTTCGATACGCTACTTTGTCTTTGAATCATATAGATGGAACATTTAGAATGAATTATCGAGAATGGAAACTGAACTTCAAAAAAAATTAACAATATCTTTAAATTACGACATTTTCTTCAAATTTTTATTAGGTTTTAAAATAGTAGGGTCTTCTGTAGAATACAGAAGATTTTTAATTGCTTTTAATCAACTTATACTTAATATTTACTAGAATTGCCCGCGGCTCCGCCCGCGTTCAGATTACCAAAAGCCAAATTCTTGGGTTTTACTTATTAGTATACTCTTATAATGCAGTTTTTGTATTTTTTCTCAGAAACGAGATATTTTCCCGCGGTAAAAAGTATCCTATATGTTGACCCGGATAACCAGCTTTCACCATACCAAATTTCATGAAAATCCCTGCAGTGGTTTTTCCGTGATACGGTAACAAACAGACAGACAAATATTCTAAAAACTATAGATTCGGCCTCTGTATCAATAATAATGCCTATTTCAATAAGATTTTCCAAAAAATATTTAATGTACAGATTTGGCTTAGTTACAATTTTATTATATGTATAGATTGTTATTGTAATTATTATTATTTCCTATCTTATTGCACCCTTTTTAAAATGGAGTAAGTGACTTCGTTCCTGGCGGAGATCTCTCGACCGCTTATTTGCTTTTTTTAGTTTAAAGTTTAAAAAATAAGTTTAAATTAAGGCCAAAAATAAATAGACAAATGACATTTTAAGTGAAATAATCATTCTCTTCGTTGCCATGTTTGATGTAATATGTGTTAGAAGAGTTGAGAGAATTATCATCAGTATCCGAGGAATAAAATTATTAAAATAACTTGTATTATGTTTCTATTCAATATTTTACATTCACTGCATAAAAACCATTACGTTCAGTCATTCCTTCGCCATGCCCATCTTTATGAATTATCTCTAGTTATCTGTACGCCATATTTGTTTACTATTTATGACATGTAAGAAAAAAAGACTATTATTATATTGGGTGTGGTGCCCAGATCGGCCCTAGCTACGTCGACCAGTTTTGGTCCACTGTAGCTAGTAAAAACGCATTCAAAAACCGCCAAAAAATCCGAAAAGGATTTTATTTAAAAAATACAAAAGTAGTTTTTCAAGATAATCTTCACGAGACATGTAATAGTAGCCTACAGGGTTTATTCAATTACTCATAACAATGTTATACAGAATGAATTAGAATTCAAGGATTAATTTGTTCTATTTTTGTCACTGTGGGTGTCCCGTCCCCCTTTTGCACATACTTCTCAATTGAGTGAATAATTTCTACAACCTATAAATTGATTGTATCCTAATTTATGTAACACAGATTAGGAATTTTATGTCAGGAATATTCATGAATCTTAATATAACAAGTATGTAAAAAAGTAATTACCTGCCACTGGAAGTACACCTTTCTTCCCAATGAGGTGGCAGTGGTAAATTGGAAACATTAGTGTTTACTGGTGGGTCTCTTGATGCTCTCACTTCTCCAGCTGGCCCAACCACTGCTAAAGGTGACCCTTCTCCTGCTGCAGAGGCGGGTTCTCCTCTGGTGCCATCTCGAGACAATAGAGATACTATAACTTGACCCTTTACACCACATGTTTCCCCAGAGTTATCTTCACATAATTCTAGGCATTGATCTGAAATAATTGGTGTATATAATAGGTAGTAGAAATATAAATTTGGTAAGTATATTAAAAAAATTTAAGCCCAATGTTTTTACTTACATCCAGTATCTTTCAATTTATGAACTGTCGATGGTAAAATACGAACACAACCTAAAAATCCAGAACCCTGTCGCTTGTGCACTTTCCGTTGATTCCAAACACTGAAAAGACATGATTAATAAATAATTTAAGTAAGAATATTGTTTTCATATATTAATTTTCATTACATAACAAAAATAAAACTCATAGATGATAACTATAAAATAGTATAATAATAATACATACATACCTAATAGTAATTCCATCACCTTTAGTTAAATATAAGTCATAATGTGTATTCCATTTTGGATCTAGTGTAGCTTTAACAGCATTTGTAGAATAGACTTGACCACTACCATCCACAGATATCTTTGCAAAAGGATCAGGTAATCCTGTAGGAAAATGATAAATAGATTTATAATTATAAATTAAAAAACCCTCTACACAAATTGTCATTTAACGATTACATTGGCACGCGTGAAGCACTTAATCGAGTAATCATATGCCTAAATGCCTTACATCATTTTGGAAAAAAGCTGATACTCTTACACTGCTGGACCGATATTAACCAAACATAGTTAAGAACCACGGCAAGGAAGCTTTCACATGAAAAAAAACGCATCGAAATCAGTACATCCGTTTGAGAACTATGATGCCACAAAACAGATACACACACACACAGACATCGACGTCAAACTTATAACACCCCTCTTTTTGCATCAGGTGTAAAAATATGAAGCCTTAGTTAAAAAACATATATATCAAATTACCTTTCATTTGAATTATTTTCGATCAGGATTTTATTAGATACCTATTATTTATTTAATTATGAAAACATCCAAGATGAAGAAACTAAATAAGCATAATTATATTCTTCTTAACGAAATGTTTAGTAAAAGTTAATTTCAATGTTTATTAATAATCTTATAACAATTGATTTGGAAGAGAAGCTTAGGGTATTACAAGTAAATAGCAAACCATAAAGATTTCATAGCCATGCTTAAAAAAAAAGAAACTGCAATTGCCTGAAACTTAATTCTGAAATAGATATTGTATATATATAATGTAAATGTAATTTATTTTGCAATTTAAATTCAAGTAATTAAATATCTTTATTTTTAAGTAACTATGAGGCAAGTTCATTGTACAAAATCATGAAGGAAAGCAAAGAACATGTAAAATTTTCTAAATAGGACATGTCATTGAAAGATATGTCAATCACTCAAAATTGTTGTGACAAAAATTTGTAAATCCTTATCATTTTATATTTCATTGATTGTATATTTATTAACAATTGCATTTAATTTTAAGATTTAATATACAGAAACACATGTTCTATACAGACATCTAAATACTCATATGAAACCATGGTTTGATCGCTTCTGTGTAAATGTTGGAAATATGAATTATATAAAATATTTCAGAAATTTAACCATAGAGAGCAATACTAAAGAATTCAGAAAGTATCTCAAAGGTAATATTAAATTCATATCCTTTGATGTTAATATCATATTATTATGACTGCAATACTTCCTGTGAAATAACTCAATACAGTTTCTTTTATTGTTGAAATGAAAATTGTTAAAAAATAAAAGAGGAAACACTTACGAAATAAATCTCTCCGGACTAAATTTCTCGCACATAGAACTAAAATAAAATAATAACGTTAATAATTAGGGAGTGACAGACAATCATTCCACAAATCACATCAAGTTTGGAACATAACATAGTGAAAGGATATTACTTACTCGTAAGTCGAATTTTTTGAGCTCCATATTTACGATTCGATACTGGAGTGGACATTTTTAATAATTTCAACTACTCATTGCAGTTTAAAATATTTATTTCAACTATATATTACGTTTCCAATTTATAAACTTACGACCACCATTTTTCTTTGCCATTCATTTTTTACACTAAGTTCAAAGTTGCCAGTTGATGTTTTGATTGCCAGTTCTATTATTGAAATTTGATTAAAATGTCATTATTATTAGGTAATAAAATAATATTCAAAATATTAATTTATTTTTATATAGGTTACATATAAGCATTGCCCGCGGCTCCGCCCGCGCTCTGATGATCAAAAACCAAATTCTTAGGTTACAGGTTCAGTTTTTGTACTTTTTCTCTTAAATGAGATATTTTCTCGCGGTAGAAAGTATCCTATATGTTGACCCGGACAACCAGCTACCATCATACCAAATTTCATCAAAATCCCTCTAGTGGTTTTTCCGTGATGCGGTACTAACAGACAGACAGACAAAAATTCTGAAATCTATAGATTCGGCCTCTGTATCGATAATAATGTCTATTTCAATAAGATTTTCCAAAAAATATTTAATGTACAGATTCGGCTTAGTTACAATTTTATTATATTATGTTTTGATTGATGATTGATTAAATACTTTATACAAGTATCCGCGAGGCTAACAACTCTAGACACACCTAACAATTTTTTATTTAAGAAATATTTACAGATCGATCTTGATTAACAACATCTAAAGCAATATTGAATATATGATTTTGGTAAAACATAAAATAATCGGGAATAAAGTGTTGCTATTTTATAAAAAGGGTAATTTTCGTGGACACAGCAGTTGTTTCGCTATTAAAATTCCATCTGTTTCACACTATTAAATAATCTCTTATTGTTTATAAAAGCAATAAAAAATAATCAATAAAAAATAAGGACTAAATAATTTATAATTGAAAATTGCAATTTTAGTCATACAGTAAACATGATGTTGCTATTACAAATCTACTTTGTCTTTCGACGAGCCAACAATATAAATACCTAATAACAAATTTGACTTAAGTCTTCAATTTCAATAATAATTGTAAGCAAGTTTATTATTATTATTTAGTGTTTATTTTAAATAAACTTTATTAAGATAGCATAATCTAAAAAGTAAGTACATATAATATTAACTAATGCTTGTATACAGAAAGTAAAACTTTGTGTAGAAATATCAAATAAGTGTAGGGAAAATTCTATTTATTTTGGATGATCTTGGGCATTATGAATATTATCTATAACACACTAATTTGCTAATTAATTATGAATACAATTAATAATTATAAAGGTTTTTTTTAAGTAAAAAAAGGAAAATAGGTTATTAATATTTTGTCTCAGTATAAAAACTGAATGCCTTGTTACCCTTTAGTTGGGGTAGGTAGTACCTACTAGGTACATCTCTATAATATAAAAATGAATCGCTGAATGTGTTGGTAAGCGCAAATCTCGAGAGCAGCTAAACCGATTTCACTAATCCTTTTTTTAGAATATTCCTTGAAGTACGAGGATGGTTCTTACGGAGAGAAAAATTTAAAAAATTGCCTGAAAAAGTCCAAAAAACGACACTTTATTATACTCCCATACAAAAGATTCGTAATAATACTTAAAAGTCAATTTGAACTTTGATACCATACCATAAAGTTTAAGTTTAGTGGAGAGGTTCTGGGAAGGCAAAACAATTGAGTGAGGTTAGTATCGTATAAATATTAATGTCAATATTATTAAAATTTATATGGCTAATAACGCTGCCTAATAACTATTTATACGAGTATCTATTAAAAACGTACTTAGCGATGAACCCGAGCGAAGCGAGGTTGAGCCGCTAGTTTACAATAAAATCTTTCTAGACAGTTTCAACTTTCAAGTTTATTTTTGTAAATATAAAAGTATCTTTTTAGAGAGCTAAAAATATTCATCAATCTACTAAATTAATATATATTAAAATTGAAAGATCTAAAATCAAACGAATGCTTTGAAGTGTAAAGCCTTAATTATAATTATACACGACAAAGATAAATTGTACAAATGGGACCAATGTGACCTTTGCACATTTTCTTGTAAGTTATAACATTAAATGAGAAATTCTTTCATGTGTATAAATAAACTTAAGTCGCGCATTTCGGAAACGGCTCTAATGATTTGGTTCAAATTTAGTATTTAAATAAGGTTTTGTTTTTTAGGTTTATCTATTTATGTGTGTTTTCTGAAAAGTTTCTAGTGTTTACATTAATATATGTGTATCTAATTACTATTTCTATTTCTCAGCTTAATCCACATCTTATTTAGTTACATTTTTTTATTCAAATCATTACAATATAATAAAAGGATTATCTATTTAGCCATTTTTGAGTCGTATTCGTTCAAACGCAGAGCCGAATTCGACTTTACCGCCGCCGCGCCCCAATTATATAGGGCATAGTAAAAAATGCCGCCTTATTATTCAAATTTTGCAGAAAATGGGTAAAGTTTTGATAAAGTTTAGTTTTTTTTATTTATCATTTTTTGGAAAATAATGAAAACGTTTTCGATAACGCGAGGAGATTTTTTTTCCCACCGTCCGAAAGCCGCCCTCGGCACTAGCCCCGAGTGCCCCTAGTGTACCTAAATCAAGCGTTGTTCAGATAGACAGAAAATAAATCTGATAAAATATTATATATAGTTTGGCTTCGTCTTTCCTAATGTTTTTTTTTAGTACATAATATACGAACGTTTTTAACACGATTTATAAATAAAATAATTATCGTGGTTGCAGATTACGATAACGGCCTATCTCTTTTAGTTAGCCAAGAGCTATAAAATTTAAATAACTATATATTGCATATTGTATAAGAGGTACATTTATTTTCCATTATTTGTTTGAGTTGATAAGCGCATGTTTAATTGTAGCTTGATCTGTGAACATTTGTTTACTGATATCTATTGTCTTTTGTGCTGTGGATATTAGTCAGCATAATAAAATATTCCAAGTTAGAATATTAAAGAATAACAAGTGTAGCCATTTTTTAGAAATTTGCTATGGAGCCTATAATTATTGTACATGGAGGAGCTGGTGACATTCCTCAAAGTAGTGTACAAGGAAAGTTAGATGGTGTCAAACTCGCAGTTATTGCAGGGCATAAGATTTTAGCTCAAGGTGGAACTGCTTTGGATGCTGTGGAGGCAGCAGTTGTATCTATGGAAAAAGATGAATACTTCAATGCGGGTAAGTCAACCTTAGTCTCTCATCTAAATTGAAAGTGTAAACTGATTTACCCACGCATAAGATATATAAAATTTAGCGATCACAATTATTGAAGTGAAACTTCTTTTCGAGCATGACAGTAAAATTTCAAGGTCGCGTCATGAGATATCGTCACTAAAAACCGTCATGTCCATGACGTTTGTATGATATATCATCATTCATGCGTCACGGGATAGCTTAGAGTAGCGATGGGTCGTCGACGTATATAGCGTGAACGAAACTAGACCGTTCATTTTCATTCGTCGATTAGTCGATCTACTAGTTCATATCGTAGACTGTGGTTCACGTACGCTTCTGACTTAAATCAGCCCCGGCCGAGCTCCATACAAGCGCATATTCATAAAACCGAAGGCGAATAAGACGAAGCGGGGGCCGGGGGGGTCAAGATAGTCAAAGAAAGATTTTTCCCGATTTAACCATTATAAATTAAAAATAGCTACATGGGATATGTTAATTAATATCTTATTATATTATAAAATATACTTAAGTTAAATATGCTTAAAATGTTTTTTTTATAAATCATATGTGCTATATATTGATTTATATAATTATATTCTAAATGATTTTAACTATTATCGAATATCTTATATTTTAATTATATTTCATATCAAACATAAAATATCTATTAACATAGGTTTTTATGTTATAAAAATTGATTTATATTTTAGAGCTATGTCATGAATTTGCCTTAATATGGGGACAGTTATGGCATAAATGGCAAGTCAAAATATGCTGTCACTTTCACGGCTATTGTATTTCTTTTGAGTCGCCACGCATCTCTTTCTAAGGGTATGACGTCATATGCGAATCTGGGAGAATTTAGTTCGTAGTGATGTAAAAATCGGTATTCATTACGATTACGATTAAGTAGGGATGTATTTTATCGTAATGTTATCGGTATTCAACAACTGTTATCGGTTTTATAGTAAGGTTTCCATTTTTATGATATTAATTATAATTAGAAATAAAATACAAAGATAGGTTTCTAGTTTTTTTATTTTACTATTTTAATGCTACCACTAGTTCGGAAAAATGCCTCAGACCTGAGAAGAATTAGCAAGGACTGAGGTCCTTGACGGGATAACCTTTTTTTTCTTAACATTTATAATACATTGTTATTACAATAAAAGGACATTTTTAAAGAATTTTATCGATTGAATACAAAATACAAAAGATAATAACAATGAGACAAAGACTAATACAACGATTTGGTATAAAATATTACAATGCAATAAAATTAGAAGTAACATAGAACAATAGTTTTTGTTAATAACAATATCATATTAAGCGAGTAGTAGGTTTAATTGTAGGTATAAATTAAAATCTAGCTTTTGTTTGAAGTTTTAGCTCTAGAACCACCTTCATCTTCAGTTTATAAAATGCAAAGATTCGAGATTAGCGCATTTGAAAAAACAAACATTTTAATCTTATATAAATTAAAAAAAAATGCAAATTTCAGTAAAAAATGAATAATAAAATTAATTTTCTTAAAAGCTTAAGAAATTTAAAATCAATATGTACATAGTAATAGTAAAAATTTGGTGTAAAAAGAAATAACAGCTAAACACACTCTAAAATAAAATTTCTAAATGCATAGTTCTATCAAATGTAACAATTATAATTAATATATTAAAATTATATACTGCTATAGTAGTATATTTTAAGAAATTATAATATTATTTCACAGAAATCAATTGAAATATTCATACATTATTTTTATACTTAATAGAAACATAATGAAAATGGAAAATTCCAAGTGATTATCTTTTAAATAACCAAGAAATGAAACAAACAAGAGTAATAAATATTAAAAGTTAATTAATGAAAAAATATTGGATAATCATTCACTACTCTGAAGACTAGATGAGTTCAACCATAGCTAGGCCCTTCTGAAACTTTCATATTAAGCAAATTTTCTATTTCCAGACCCTTTTTTCTCGAATCCACTTTATGCATTCTTCAATTAAAATTTATACACCTGTGTCTTACTTTTATACATATCATAAATAATGAGAATGCTCTTAAAAATATTTCTCTATGATCTACACAAGTGTACCAAGAGGTATCAAGATTTTCAAATGCTTTTATTAAATCGGGAAATATGTAAACTTTACAAATCTTTGGTAATTGTCTTTTAATTATGTAAATTGCATACCATACTAGAGATGACAGATTCTTAGAAGGATCATGTATTTTATTATTAATGAATAAAATAATCTCAGCTGTGAATAAGCCATTCTCAATATTTACATTTAATGTATTACAATAATTGTGTTCTTCCTGGAAACTAAAAACCTTTATCAGGAGACTTATAGATGTTGAAACACTTCAACTGCTGAAACACCTGCGCAGCATATACTTCACCTGTAAATATATTATTATAATAAATTAATGTAATACAACAAATAGTCACCATAACTATATAGTATATGAACTAGTAACTACTGTAGATGAATAGTAGCTTATTTAAATATAGTAATAGTTTAGTATTATTAGGGTCTAGGTAGATAAGCCAATTAGGCCCTTAAATAGCTGTTAACATTATACAATAGATAGGCTATAGAGTTGATAAATTGTTTTTAATAGACTGAGCATTACATGGATAAGTGCATTCAAACAATAAACAAACTATTCAATTTTACATATTAGAATAGAATAGTATAATAATAAATAGTATAATAATATCAATAGCTTCAAGAAGTTTCCTTCTTAAAAACAATTTCATATTAAAGATAATATCCAAGATCTAAAGTAATATAATAATATCTTAATTTACTAAACTTAACAATATAGTTACCTTCATCTTAACAAAAGAGTTTGGATAAATATGCCTGTCAGTAAGTTTGTTAGCCTTGCAGCACCTTTATGGTCATCTACTTTATACAACATATAAACATAATCCCATTGAGCATGCTGACTGCCAAGGAGCAAATTCTTTTTCTGAAAATTATTACTGAAACATTTCAGTAAATGAGGTACATCATACATATGATAGGTTTTGTTCCCACTTCCCATTAACTTCATAATGGATAGCACTTGATGCATCATTGGCACTACAAAGTATATTTACCTTAGTATCAGAAATTAATGAATTCATTGCAGCTACATTGGCAGAAACCTGGTCAGATAGAGTTATTCTAGAAATAAACCGTTTATAAGAATTTCTATAAGTATACGTTATAAAATTGAAGTGCATCTTTATAAGGCATTCTATAGCATGAAAAACCTTCTGTTCCTTCCTGACAATTCGGAATTACAATGCTTTCCCATGATTACACAACATTAATAAAAAACCAAAAAAAGGAAGAGAAACACTAATGAAGAAATAACAAATTTTGTATCCAAGCACAAATCTTAACTATATCACTGATCTACATTAATCAGCACTTATCCACATTAATTAATATTAATCTACAAATTGATAAAATGTAAATTTTAAGTGTAAAATAATATAAAAAACGGCAAGCCCTCACACCCTAGTCCCCAGGGGCGAGTAATAACGACGGTTACAACTTGAATATTTCAAAAATGACAAAATATTGCAGTGACGTCACAGTAGTGACGTATTAACTGCGACAGAAATAAGTTGTTGTCCCACTCGTTGTCGCCAAATGTAGAGATAGCATGCTAGTTACCAAGCAAATGAAAGGGATAGATAGATGCACCAAGAGCTCGTATGGAACTAATTCATCTATTTTATTTGTCATCCATGACTTAAATGTACTTGTAGACGCTAAACAGTCTATCGTTACTAGTTTACGTTGCGAGACGGAACGACCGAATCGACTGTATGGGCTCGTCGCGATCGCCGTAGTTAGATTAGGCTTTGTTAATTCGTAATGATGACTTTTTTACTGAATAAATTAATAATTTTAAAATTAATTTGTAATAATTATGTAAAATTAATACGGATTCTACTACGTATTTCTAAAATAAAACTGCATGTTATTATTAATTTTTAAAACTCTCATTCAAATGTCAAACCACTGTTGTAAGCATTAGAGTTGAAATTAATTTACATTCTGTTTTAAAAGGACGACAAACTAACTCCTTGTTGACGTCTATCTCAGTCTATGAATTGAACTAGTTCATTTGAAATACGTGAACCGTCGAACTGTTGACGCATCGTCGTCCGGTTGATTGAACTAGTCCGTTCATTCAACGCCCATCGCTAGCTTAGAGTGTATGCGATAACGCCATAATAACAAGTATACCTATTAAAGCATTGACAAATAATAATGTACTTAAATATTGAGGAAATAAATTAAAAATATAACTTATAACTGTCTTTATTTTTCTTATGTAAATCCTTCGAATATTATTCCTAAATCCTTTGAATAAACACATATCTTCTATTATTAATTTATTAATCTTACAGATTTTAAATATAAATAGCCAATGAAGTTTCACATGGTTTCACTTCTAAGACGTGTACTCTGTACACCCGCACTTTTTTATAGGGTATGGATCCGTTCTGAATTTACGTGGGGAGGTAGAAATGGAAGCCAGCATTATGTGTGGTAAAAATTTAAATGTTGGTGCTGTAACTTTGATTAAAGATTTTCTTCATCCCATAAGTATTGCACACAAAGTATTAACAGACTCTCCACACTCACTCCTGGGGGGTGAAGGTGCTAAGATATTTGCAATAGAAAAGGTAAAATAAACATATTTGGAAATATTTTTTGTCTTCATTTTTCGGTAAATACTTATATGTAATTCATGACTACTTTTTTTAGGGTTTTCAAACTGTACCCCCTGAATCTTTAATAAGTGAAAATGCAAAACATGCATTAGAGAAATTTTTACAACATGGAGAGTTTGGCAGAACTGAAATTGGGATTAAAGATGAAGTAAGTGTTCATACGAGATCTTGTTGTGAATATTATTCCTGTAAAAAAAGTAATATTAAAGAACTAGTAGATATACATACATTTTATTTATTAGTGATATTCCAATTAAAAAAAATGTATTTTGTAGGGCGGTGTTGGCACTGTAGGCGCAGTGGCAGTAGATAGTCTCGGGCACGTCGCAGTGGCTACAAGTACTGGAGGTATGAGTGGCAAAGCTGTAGGCAGAATTGGTGACACACCTCAAATAGGCAGCGGTACATATGCAGATGACAATGTGGGTGGTGTTTCGACAACAGGTTTGTAGATTATGAAGTCTAATATGAAAAGTGCATTTGCTTGTAATACATATGTGTTTATGTTTGTAAACATGAATAAGCTAAGTATATTTATTTTTTGAAGTTATACTTCTTTTGGGACGTTTGGTAAAAATTATGAGAGTAAAATTTTTACGATGCGCGCGCATACCCACAGCCAAAAAGCGACATGACTATCAGATAAGGGATTATTAAAATTGATTCTTTAGTAACATCACTTATTGTGAATAAGTTAGTAGTTTTAGTAAGTTAAGCTTTTCCTTACAGGTCATGGAGAATCCATTTTGAAGTATTGTTTAGCTCATAGCATAATCAAACTTATGGATAATGGAACAGATGCAAACACAGCAACAAAAACGGCAGTAAATGGTAAGCGTGTTACAATAATTGAACAAATATGTAGGTAAATAATTTTATAACAATCTAGTTCAAGTTATATTTTTTACAGGAATGACTGAAAGACTCAAGAATACTGCTGGTGCAATAACACTGTCCAAAAATGGGGACATAGGCGTTCATTTTAGTTCCAAAAGAATGTCTTGGGCGTATATTAAGTCAAATAAAATGTGCTATGGAATTGAGCAGAATGAAATTCGTGAAGAGCAATATATTAACACATAATAAAGTCTGAAATTTATTTCTTAATTGAAGTATTTTTATATTATAGAGTATTAGAATTATTTTTATATTACGTTAAAGAATTAAACGAAATATCTACGATGTCATTGATAAGTACGACTGTGTAATAAATATTTCCTTTATACATATGTAATCTTTATATTATATAAACTTTATCGAAGGTACAGACAATGCACTCTCAAACAGCTCAAGAACAACAAGGTACCGGGTGCAGATGGAATTACGGCCGAACTTCTGAAGGCGGGTGGAGAACCGATCCTTATGGCCCTTCAGAAGTTATTTAATTCCGTCATACTCCAAGGAAAAACCCCACGAGCATGGAGCAGAAGCATAGTGCTACTGTTCTTTAAAAAGGGCGATAATGCCTTGCTAAAGAACTACAGACCCATATCGCTTCTGAGCCATATCTACAAGCTGTTTCCGAGAGTCATTACGAACCGTCTTAAATACAGGTTTGACGACTTCCAGCCTCCCAAACAAGCTGGTTTCCGTAGAGGTTTTAGTACCGTAGACCACATTCATACGCTGCGGCAGGTTATACAGAAGACCTTAGAGTATAACATTCCTCTTTGCTTGGCGTTTGTGGACTACGAAAAAGCCTTTGATTCGATCGAGACTTGAGCTGTGCTGCAGTCTCTCCAGCGGTGCCAAATCGACCACCGGTATACCGAAGTGTTGAAGTGTTTGTATGAAAACGCCACTATGTCAGTCCGTCTCCAGGAGCTGGACTCGAGACCCATCCAATAGCAGCGAGGAGTACGACAGGGCGATGTCATCTTGCCGAAATTGTTTACCGCTGCATTGGAAGATGTCTTTAAGATCCTGAAATGGAACGGACTAGGCATCAACATTAACGCCGAATACATCACTCACCTTCGTTTTGCCGACGATATAGTGGTTATGGCTGAGACCATGGAGGACATCAGTATAATGCTCAATGACCTCAATAGTGTCATGGATAAGACGAAAATTATGTCAAATGTCCATGTTGCAACCACTCCAGTTTATATCGGTGATTCTATGCTCGAAGTTATAGACGAGTATATAATAAGCTCAAGTGGCAGTGGGCGGGGCACATTGCTCGTAGAACGGACGCTCGTTGGGGACGGAAAGTTCTGGAGTTGCGGCCACGTACCGGAAGGCGAACCGTGGGCAGGCCTCCCACAAGGTGGACCGATGACTTGGTCGCTGGAGTCCACTGGATGCGGATGGCGCAAGACCGGTTGTCGTGGAAATCTTTGGGGGAGGTCTATGTCCAGCAGTGGACGTGTTTGGGCTGAGACGATGAGACGACATAAAATGAGTGTTTATTTATTAAATTTAACACTAGCTTCTGCTTACTTTTGCTTCTTCTGTAAACTGGAGAAAATATTTTGTTATTTAATTTATTAAGTTTACATAAATATAAAATGGATATTCGATACATATAAACTACACTATCTTTAAACCTGTTTTCTGTAACATAATGTAAAAATTAGATAATTCTTATTTAAAAAAAAAATTAATCTGTTTTTCGGTCTTGTTATGTGCTGAGAACAAATATTCCGAGAGGTGTCGACGAATTTTGGCAAGGTCCTTTTGGCAAGTTTAATTGTGAAAAAATATAATTTCGTCAATTGGCGAGTCTGGGATAGCGTATGCGGTTATTTCGTTACTACGCAGTATACAACATTTGCTAAAAAAAAAACAAAAAAAAAAATTGGCTACTTGGTTTTTTTTATCTTATAATTGAATGTTTATATAATTCAAAAAATAGATCACCACATGTTTTTGTCGGACCTCTTCAGATATTTTAATAAAATTACCAAAAATATACTTTTGGCATTCTGAAATTAATTTCACGTATTCATTGAGTAATTTTCTATAATACTTGCAAATCTCCAGACAAATTTACCGGTTTTAAATTCCCAGGCGTAAATAAAGTTAACAAATGAGTACAACAAAAAAGTCTTATGCGTAGCCATAGGTGCGAGAAAGATAGCTTATCGAGGTATGCCAGCAGCTGATGCCCATCAGGACCAAGGTCCACGGTCCAGTATCACATCATGAAATAGTTTCGTGTAAAGTAAGTTGTATGTAATATAAGTACATAATTATACATTATTAACTCTTGTTGTTCCTGGTCTGTTTTATTAACTTGTCGGTTTTTAATAAAAAGCGTTACATACTCTATAGGTTATTAATATGGAGGATAGAGGGGGAGGAGGCGTCTCTGTGTATGAGAAAACGTCCGTTAAAACGCGTCCAATAAGGGTGGCGCTGCGGTAGCGTAGGATAAATTTTAAAGTAAGCGCCAAAAGTATTAGTATACGAGTATAGTTATATTTTTAAAATTATTTTAGACTATTTTATATTACGTTAATAGTTTAAGGTTTTGTATTCTGGTATTATAAAATTTTTAAATTTTTGAACTCAGTATACTTTAGTCTGCAACAGCTAAATTCACATCGTAGTTTTTCTTAAGCCAGTGCCATGTATTTTCAGCATACAGCTGGACACTATAATATGTGTATTCAGCCCTTTTTATCGTCCCACTGCTGGGCACGGGCCTCCCTTCAGTACGAGGGGAATCAGGCCATAGTCCACCACGCTGGCCAAGTGCGGGTTGGCGGACTTCACATGTCTTTAGAAAACTTGCTAAGTTCTCTCAGACATGCAGGTTTCCTCACGATGTTTTCCTTCACCGTAAGGCAAGTGGTAATCATGTTAGAAATGATTCGCACATGAAAATATCAGAGGTGCGAGACCCGGGATTTGAACCCGCTTCACTCGGTTTCTCAAGCGAGCGCGTTACCACTGGGCTACCACTGCCTTTTTTACTATAATATATATATTATAGTGTCCAGCTATATATATATTTTATACATATACATATACATATATATATATATATATATATATATATATATATATATATATATATATATATATATATATAAGACGCTTCTCCTTACTTCTGCCCTCCATCAATTCAATTCTTTGTTATTTGGCTTTCAGGCGCGCTAGTTGGGCTCAGAATACAGATTACTTCGCCAATGTCGTGTAGATTGGAGAAGACGTACCCTGTTGTCTAATTACAGAACATAATGCCGCACTTTAGCGCACAATGCCGAAGTACGCTAATGCTTAATTGTAACGTGAATTAGTTTTAAAGTGCACCAACAGAGGGCACAAGCTTCTGTGTTGAAAGAAAAAAATATAACTATCTAATAAATATATAATATTATAAATAAAATATAAACAAATATTACTAACGATAATATATACCTATATTATAAAATGTTGATCAATGCCACCTTAAAAAAAAACACTTATATTTTTCTGCTACTGAGTTTGTATCCTTGTGCGCATCATGCCAAAGCAGTACCTACTTTTCAAAGTGCTCGATTGTGCGCGGCGTTGTTGTAGTTGAAACATTCGAACATTAACACTATGCCGTATAATGCGCTTTAGTACTTTAATTGGAAAACAGGGCCCCTACTTATCTGCCCTCCATAATCCATAGTTTTTACTGTTTAACATGAAAATTGACAATTTTGTTGAAATGACAATTATGAATTGACGTCGGTCTGACATTTGACAGTGACGTAAAGAAAATTTGAATGGTTAGATAGGTATTGATAATCCTTAAAGGAAAATGTTTGCGAAAAATTCATTCCATGAGTTATTTTAATGTAATATTTGCAACATATTTGTAGAGTATATTTACTATTTATATTTAATTAACGTCAATATGTCCTTTCGATTTAAACCGACAGAATTGCAGCATTTTAATTGGATGTTTAACTTAGCACCGTGTTTTCCAATCAATGCTACAAAAATAAATATAATAACTGACCCTAGTAAATTTTATGACACACTTTGTGAGCGATTTCAAAATGCTAAACGAAGAATATCGTTGGCAAGTTTATATATAGGGACAGGTGAATTAGAGAAAAAATTATTGGAGGTTACTGTACGTAATATAAAAAATAATGATGTTAATTTTCAAGTTTTACTTGATAACCAACGAGGTACAAGAGGCAAATTTAATTCTCTAACGTTATTTCAACAATTTGTTAACAATGTCTCTGATAGATGCAACTTAGCTCTTTACCAAACACCAAGACTTCACGGGTTCTGGTCCAAAGCCCTTCCTTCACGTTATAATGAAATTATTGGTCTCCAGCATATGAAACTGTATATAGCAGATGATTGTGTTATATTGAGTGGAGCAAATTGTTCAAATGATTACTTTCATCAGCGACAAGATCGCTATATTGAAATTCAGGATGTTGAACTTGCAAATTTTTATTCTGAACTTATAGGTATGGAAGCAGTAAGTTGTTGTATTTGTTTTTTTTTTTTCAAATTACATTATCATTTTTATGTTCTTTAATAGTTATTGAGTAATCCAAATAAAATTAATTTTATTTTAGATGAAATTGTTAAATATAGTAAGCAAGATGGAAAAAATATAAATTCTAAAAGTACAAAAGATGCCTTGATTAAAGAAGTAAGCAAAAGTATTGAGTCTATTATAGACAGATGGAAAAATAAACAATCTATAAAATTATCTTCTTTAATTGATGGTAAGTCTAAATATTAATTATTATATTTATGATATAAAATTTGATAGTTCTAAATAAAAATATTTTATAACTACCTACTATATATTATATATTGTATAACAAAATATATATTTTACATAACTTTTTATCTCAATATTTCCAATATTGTGAAATATGGATTCATTTTTAGTTAGCAATTTTTTTACAATTTTGTTTTGTAGACCAATCAGACACATGGGTGTTTCCTCTTATACAAATGGGTGAATTCAAAATCAATCAAGACGAGCAAGCAACTTGTAGTATTTTATCGTCTGCACCTAAAGGCTCCTATTTTCGCCTCGCAACAGGATATTTTAATTTAACTGAAAAATATGCTACAATTTTACTTAGAGATTGCAAAGCCAGCATAAGCTTATTGATGGCACATCCAAATGTAAGTATAAATAAATATAAATATAAATAAATAAATATAAATAAATGTAAATATAAATAAATTCATAAATGCAGGTTCTGTCTTAGCTCAGAAGACAGCAGTTCAACTTTATTTTTTGACTCTTGTACAACTTGCTTATAATAAATTAACCCCATGTATTGTTGTTTTATATAGTACTATACATTATTATTATTTATTATTAATTTCACTTAAAATGATTTTAAGATTATAATAATTTACTAACTTTATTATTTTAATTGTAGGCTAATGGATTCATGGGAGCTGCAGGGCCAGCTGGTGGGATTCCTCATGCTTATTCTTTAATAGCTAGGCAGTTAGTTGAAATTAAAATATATAAATAATTGTTAACTAAGGTGTATCAGAGTTGCTAAAATTCATACAAAGTTGCTAGAAATGTAATTTTTTTTTAATTATGTTTGTTTTTGAAGAATGTTTACAATGATATTACTCTTTCATTTATAGATTTTGGCAAAAAGTAGTTGAATACAATCAAACTTGCAGAGTGCAGGTGTTAGAATATGAAAGACCTGGATGGACTTTTCATGCAAAGGGTCTATGGTAAGTCTGTAATAGATTTTTTTTGCTCATATTCATGAGACTTATGTATTACTTTTGGTTGCATGATATTTTTACTTTTTTTAAAGTACAATCAGACTACTATTATAAATTGTATGTGTGTGTTTGCTTGTAATTCCTTCATGTATCATTTAGCTATATATATTAATAATATTTAATAATATTTTAGCAGCTCTGGACACATTAGAATGTTGTAAACCACTAGTTATAATTATTATATTTCCCATTTCAAACTAGGGCTTAGGCCTGACTTCTATTCTCCAGAGACTGATTTGTAGTTTTAGCAACACATGGATTTCCTATGTTCCAGGTACTACCCTCCCGGCAGTGGAGTCCCGTGGGCAACAGTAGTGGGCTCTGCTAACTTGGGCGAGCGCTCGGTACGTCGCGACCTAGAGGCGCAAGCCGCCATATTTACCTCGTCACCTGATTTGCAAGTAAGTTATGGAAATAAACACAAAACTTTATAATTATTGTGGTAGCCATGGAAAAAAAAATACAGTTATCTAACGAAGGTGTCAGCAGTTCTGTCTTTACTATAAGGGCACACGGGGCATATGTCCAGGGCCCCTTGCCTCACGAGGGCCCCGAAATCACAACATTTTCGTTTACATGGAAAAATATGGAATCTCAATTTTTAGTTTAGAATACAGTGCACTGTCTGCTATAGATTGAATAACATTATGTTCCTTCATTAACTTTATTATCTTTTTAGCTGACTTCTTTACGCCATTGAGTTTATTTTTTAATTTTTGTAAATTACTTTTTTTATCATCCATATATTTGGGCCTTTCAAAAGAGCCCTAAATTGTTGTGTGCCCAGGGCCTCATGGCTTAAGGCGGCCTTGGGTGTCAGGGCGAATGTGTGGAATATCATACGTACTTTTATATGACAGTCGGGAAACGGCTTCAGGGTTAACGGGCATTACTGTAACTTACCACGAGATGGCACTACAGTGCTTTAACTTCGAAACCGTTCGCCATGAAAATTACTTCATATTTTTTAATTTATCTTAATTCGAATTTCTAATTATTACAATATTTCTGTGTGCGAGTCTCGTAATAGAATATAACATACTGTTTTTTTTTTATAAATATTAGCTATTTAACAAGATATTTCTCTATTATTGCAGAAAAGACTTCATAGTGAATGTTCGAAATTACACGATTTTGCTACAGAATGCAGCAAAGATTTGCAAGAGCGACAAGCTCCGTTATGGGTACGCGCTACAGTTGGTCTATTTAGAACTTACTTCTAGGCAACAGCAATAAAAGGCTTACATCAGTATTTTAAATAATGAGTAGATATAGCGTATTGGAGTCAGAGTAACTCAACTTAGCCATTAAATCAAAGTAAGCTATCGAATTCGATAGGTATGTGATTTGATTTCATATTCTTTTTAGACAAAATAAGATTTTTTATTTATTTTTTATTAAACAATAAATATGAAATTGTTGTAATATATACCTATGCGTATATAATGGTAAAGTATTATCCTTAAAGATATTAAAATCTTGTCTGTATGTCACATTAACATTTAATATTGTTCAACAAAATAAATAAAATCTCGTAAGTCTGTATTATGTACTTATCTATATATATATATATATTGTACCTATGTTCATATGTGTGTTATACGTGTAACCGTTAAAACATACCTAGAGATGAACCCGAGCGAAGCGAGGTTGAGTCTCTAGTCTATTATATATATATATATATATATATATATATATATATCACTACATTTAATAAGTACAATAAAAGAACATATACCAAATAAACTGCCTGAAACAGCAATCAAGCCGTAACATATTCACTTGTTTTAATAATTATTAATTAGGTACTGTGGTTATTAAAAAAAATCCTTCCCTCCTTCTGTTATAAGTAAAGTGTAACTAACAGATTTTTCGCCTGATTGTTAATAATATCAAGTCTTAATTGAGATTATTTTAGTATATTTTACATGTTAAATACATACAATCAAATATATGTAAAACGGAAATGGCGAAAATAATGACAACTCATATTGACGCCATTTTTACAATCGGTAATTTATATTGTTATATGTTGTTATTTGAATGCTATAATTATGTCGACGTTACAAAATATTTGACTACTTACCAAGGTAGTATATTATAATTTGTGTACATTTGTACATGTTTTGTTGTTGTGTTTTTGTGCACATATGTACATGGTTAAAGCCGAAACATATTGAATGATTTTTTCAAAGATTAGAAAAAGACAGAGATTAGAATGGAGATGTTAGAAAAAAGCAGTAGTAGCCCAGAGGTAACGCGCTCGCTTAGGGAACCCAGTGAAGTGGATTCAAATCCCGGGTCTCACACCTCTGATATTTTCATGTGTAAAGCATTTCCAACATGATTGTCACTTGTCGTATCGGTAAAGGAAAACATCGTGAGGAAAAACCTGCACGTCTGAGAGAACCTAGCAATATTTCAAAATGACATGTGAAGTCCGCAAAGTCATAAATACATGTAATAAATAGATGGCTGTATGGTTTCGTATAGCATTTGTCATTTTCTATATATATATAATATTTATATATAAAAGTATACAGTATATAGGAAATTTTATCTTGTTTATATCTTTTTTGTCAGGCTTTACGAGATTGAATTATAGACTGCAAGAGCAAAATGATCATAATTCAACATTTTTCTTTTTTGTAATCTTTTTAAATTGAATTATATCATTCTTTTCAGTCAAAAGCAAAATCATGATTGCAAGTTTATTTCTTCAGTTAAGCTACATATTGTCTATTAAGTCACTAATTATTTCCATTAGTCCAGTAGTTGCGCTTAATTTAAGAAAATAAAGTACAAAGTATACCAATCACGCTTATTATACTGTAATAGTGTATCTAAATGAGTATTAAGTAAATTGGAACAATTTGTTGAAAGGCTTTGTGCCATTTGTAGAACAACAACACACAATGACGACAGCACGTTTGGCTCAGTTTGTAGTGACCCTACTTGCTATGCCAGCGGTCGCGGGTTCGAGTCCCGCTGGGGGCATTCATTTGTGTGAAAAACACGAATGTTTGTACTCCAGTCATGGGAGTTTATATTTTAATATGTATGTATTTTAAGTTATATATGTGTCGTGTATCAACTACCTGGTATCCATAACACAGGCCTCGTTGCTTACCATGGAACCATTACCATGGTTTTTTGAAAAGTATTTTATTATTTAATATTGTAATTGTTTGCAGCAACAAATAAAATGTCATTTATACAATAATGAATGGAACATCTGTAAATAATAAATGCCAAGTTTGTTTATCAATCACTTTTATTCATATTCAATCTTATTTTCTTCATATAATCACATAATTATTATTTCGATTCACGCTTAAAATAAATTTAAAATAAATTAAATGAAAACACTCTGCAATAATAATTTACACAAAAAAAAATCAGTCGGTTTGGGACATTATTTGATTCATATTAAAAAGTATACAATTAATTTACATTAATAGGAATCAGGCACATTATATAAATTATCTACTATTTACTAGTGAGTAGTAACATCTGTTAAACTGTGAAACATCAAGCGTACCGAGGAGGTACTGAGAAGGAGCTGGGTCCCGTAAAACAAATCTCACCTTTGAGCATAATCATTTTAAATCAATATATAACCATTGCAATTGAGCAATCACACAATATATGCATTTACAACAATCATTTGTGAGCTAATTCAATAATTTCCTATAATCTGAGCAATAATTGAAGCAAACGTAGTTTTGATCGAATTGAAGTAGACACAAGAAAATTTAAAAACTCGAAGCATGGACGCCATTTTATTCTAATCTTTGGTGTTCCGGGCGTAACAACACTGACGCTCAACCGAATGCTCCCAACGGTATTGTAAAATCAATACTATATTACGTACGTATAAAACTCTTATATAATTAAATAGCTCGAGCTGTCGGCCGAGCGGCGGGCTGTTGAGAACGTAACATACTGTGGTGCGGTAACGCCTTCGACCTAAACACTACGGACGCAGATAGTAGGTACAAAAATAGTTCACCTATTGAATATATAATTAAGACTACTTAACAATTAAGTATCGCGAGGAGGCCGATGAGGATATAACAGCGACGACCCTTGAAATGCAAGAGCAAACTAACATAATAACAAAGATTCATAAATCTTAAGTGGCATCGGTTTCTGACTGCACCGAGAGCCTCCTCGAATAATGCTAATTATCGCGTATCACACTAAGGTAAATTGACTAGGCGTGTTGAGTCGCGCGCGGACGCGGCGACTTGGACTTCGACTCACAACGGATACTACAATAGTGCAATTCAGTAAAGCGTGCTCAACTAAGGTTGGAATTGGAATTAAATCGACATTCGAAACGTACGGAAATCAACTATTAAATGAGAGTTTGGCGTGAATATGTTCAATGTGCATGTGTCAGTCAATTTTACAGTTCGACAGGTTTATATTAAATAAAATTATTTGCTAAAATTTCATATTTATATTGTTATCTATAATTAACGTTAAATATGAAATTTTAACAAACTGAAGGCCTGTTACATTTACCTTACAACATATTCACGCCAACGACAAAATCTTGATCCGAGGACTCATTCGCACGCATCAGCCAATAAATAGCACAATTAGTATAAAATGATTATGTAAACTTGACTGAAGACTCCGCATATATGATAGCACAATAGCAGTACGCGTGGTCGAAGCGTTCAGACGAGACGGCCGTGGAGGGCCACTAGAAGCCGGCGTCGGGCGGCGGGTCGGGCGGCATGTAGTGCAGCTCGTCGGTGGGCGCGCTGAACACGTTGTAGAGCACGGCGAAGAGCGTGCAGGCGGCGTACGCGCCCAGCGCCGCCCACCACAGCAGGCGCTCCCACAGCCGCTGCTGCGCGTGCTTCAGCACCAGCAGCCCGATGGTGAGGCCGGCCAGCGCGCCCGCCACGTGCGCCGCGTACGACACCGGCGGCGCTTCCTACACAACGTGCAACACATTAAAAAAAAATTGAATTGATGTTTCTTAATAGTGAAGTTATTTTATTTCATGACAGGATGGTTTGCATGATAGAATTTAATACCAAAATTAAAATTTAAAATACGAACTCAACGCGATGAGAGAGAGGAAGGACGGAATAGCCGAGCCGAGTGGAAAGAAAGTCTGAGAGTTAAGTGCGCATGGCTACGTGGCAACATGTCGCCACGGCAACAACCTGTTTAACTCGCCGTATTTAGATGTTTTACATCCAAATTTGTTGTGATTGTATAGTCATATTGTATGATTTTAACCACTGAAAGTGTTTTAAATAAATGGCGTTAATAAAAAATTTCGTCTTCACGCTCTTTTCCGATCACCGAAGATAATCCGTATTTGTTCAAGATAAGTAACAATTTTCTGTGCAGAAATTCGCGACTTCAATATATTACCAGATGACACTCATCCAACGTACAAATATTTGTCCGGTATTGTTAAGAATAAAAGAAATATATTACAAAACCCACCTTAGTATACCTAGCGTGGACAGCAAAGCCCACATCACAGGAGGCCACCGCCAGCGCCGCGACGAGGCGCACGGCGCCGTACCGCATCGCATGGAAGTTGAGCAGCGCGTTGGCGAGGTGCGCGGCCAGCAGCGCGTACACGCCGCCCGACGCGCCCGCCAGGCACACGTCCGGGTCCAGCACGGACGCCGCCAGCGACCCGCCCAGCACGCCCGCCAGGTACACCGCGCCGCACCGCGTCGCGCCGTGCACCATCTCCAGGGGGAGGCCCACCTGTGCGCACAGGACATACACACTACATTATTATCTAAATATTACTCCTTTATGGTCTTTCTAAATTACAAAAATACATATAAGAGTAAGTTAACTGCTTCATCTGTCTACTGACTAACATATACGGCAGCAGATTGGAGGTCTTGGGTTTCATTTTTCTTAGGATTTCATTGGGGTTTTCTGTCAAGAAAGTTTCAATAACTAAGTTGCTTGTGTTTCCAAAGCCGTCAGTCAGTCCTACGCTTGATCTCTTATTGCGAGTGCCGTATAGTTGTTCCACGGGACTTCATGAGAAAAAGGAAGTAGTGAGTTCACGTACTAAAATATTTAGTATTTAGCATAATCAGTGAGATTGGGCGCCATGACCGAAATCGATAAGGAAGGTATTATAAATATGTACATATGTTTAAAATACTAACCGCCAACTGCACAAGCAGATTGAAGGCGAGATGCAGCCAGCCGGCGTGCACCACGCTGTAGGTGAGGAAGCGCCACAGCTCGCGGCGGCGGTCGGGGCGGTACACGAGCGGCGAGTCCACCGGCACGGGGCCCGCCGCCGCCGCCACGCCGCCCGCGCCCCACGCGTACCACGCGAACACACCGAGCTGTACATAACATTTCCATTAATACTTTCTTAGATTTACACGAATATTTGACATTTAAAAAAAATATATCTTTTCGAAAAAATCCGAAAAGATAGTTTTATTTAAAAAAATACTATTATCTATTCATAGATACTAATACTAGCTACCCTATGGATGCCAAATAGAAATATGTTACTCCAGGTATACAGTCTATCCATGTACTTAATTTCATCCCAATCTCCGTTTCAGCGTGAGAAAGTAAAACACACAACACACACTCGCACACACACGCACACATGCATACAGACGTACCTATAAACTTTCACAATTATAATAGTAGTCTGATATAAAGCTCTGGAAGCTGGATGGCTCTGTTTATTTGAACGCGCTCATCTGGAACTACCAGTTTGATTTGAACAATTCTTTTTGAATTTTATAGTGTATTTATTGAGGAAATTTGTCTCACACACACATACCCACACACACACACACACACACACACACACACACACACACACACACACACACACACACACACACACACACACACACACACACACACACGCACACACACACTCACGCACACACACACTCACGCACACACACACATTAACACACACACCCATCACAGACACATACATATATACATAAAGCACCAACCAACAGTTCAAAATGGCACACTCGCAAACTAAACAGATAATTTAATTCTGACAATATTTTGGGGGATTGGCACTGTATGCCGTAATACAGGTCTTCTAGTACGGCAGCAGAGACAACCGTATTATTTGTATTGATAGTCTAAATTGTTTGTTTCAAAATGTACTTTTCAATATGCTTTTCAACTACAATATGTATGTATTTTTGTGAAATAAAGTATTATTATTATTATTATTTGTATATAATATGTGCTGTGACGCCACGCTACATATAATATGTGATAGTACGCTACGGTACAAGTTTTAGGAGCCGTAAAATGATAGACAAATAAACTAAAATATAAAGCTCGTTTTCTTGATTGATTCATCGCGTCTAAATTATTGAGCCCTAAAGTCTGCACAGAATATTCGTATAATAAATTCGTAACTGCCAAAAAAAATAATCGATTTTCAACTCGTAAGGAGATGAAAAAGAAAACTTCATCTTAAATCTTAGTAAAATATGTAATAAGAATTTATTTCGCCCATTTGAGTTATTCTTAAAAATAACATATAGGAAGTATATATTTTTTATTCTTTATATGATATACTGTTTGGTACTTTGGAAATATTATTCAATATGGTAAAGATATGAGGATCGGGCACTTTATCTTGCGAGATAGAGGCGAACACGAACGAAGCAAGGGTGAGCCGCTAGTCTGTATATCTGTATAAATATTATAAATGTGAAAGTTTGTGAGTATGAATGTCTGTTACTCTTCACGCCAGAATGGCTGAACGTATCTGGATGCAATTTGGCACAGAGATAGATTATAGTCTGGAATAACATATAGGCTACTTTTTATCCTGGAAAAATATACGGTTCCCGAAGGATAGATCTGTTTTTGTTTGTATTAAATAAAATAGTAATGCAAACCACTTTTGCACTTGTGGGTGACAATTTTATTTAGTTTTTTTTTATGGGACCAAGGATTTATGAGATGGAAAGTGATCACCGCCGCCCATGGAAAATTTAGTTGTAAATAAAATATAATCTAAATAAAATCGTCACCCACAAGTTTATCAGATGTCATAAACACGAACAGTATGCGTACAAATGGAATATTAGTGTTTTTCTCAAGTATAAAAGTAATTAAAGTTGTGAGAAATATTTACGTTTGACACGCAAAACATTGAAAACTTTTCCAAATTGTTTTATATATGAAAGTGTGTCATAATGGGAAAATATAAATGTGTCCGCTTCTCAACAGTAAGCTACAGTAGGTATGTATTTTAAATTTTAATGCATTAAAGATAGTATGGGTTTAAAAATCGGAAAACGTTAGATGATTTTTTGCGATTAAAGCGGAACAAAAGTATTTAAATCCATACTTGTAAATAATTAAGTATACAAGTCATTTATTGAAATAGCTTTATTTACGATCCAACTTGCGGACAAGGCATTAATCGTAAAGAGGAAAACCGTTACCCGTAGCCTATGCGAGTATAGCGGAAAGCACCTTACAGGAATCGTGCGTATGGAGTGAATCAATGTGTGACGAGCTGACGAGACCGTCGCGTCCACACTGAGCGTGAACAGTTCGAACGATTGTTATGATTCACGTAAACCGCTCGTACGTGCGGATGTGAAATCTGCAATTACACTTTTTAATTAACCGAGGTAACTGGAGCGGGGATCGAACAGCGGTGTTTGGCGTGTAGAAAGTGATGCACCGATTTTCTAGTTCCCCTAACGGCAAATAATTAATTCATATTCACAAATACCGTATACGCGTAATTGAACTATATAACCACCATTTTTACTGAGGTATCTAATATCTTAGTGAAATTAGTAGTGTTTGGTGATCAACTTACCTCTAATAAAGTGACGCATATAATGAAGAAGGGAGGTGGGCAGCATGTGTATCTCTCCTGATAGTATTTCCGGTCCCTCTCCTCAGGGAGGACTTCCATTGCTACGAGGTGCACCATTCTGCATAATAACATATTTATATTATTTAATACATTAAAATAAATACAATTAATTGGTGTACCACCATGACAATAGTATATGAAAGCGAAATATAGCGTACTTATTATAGCATACCTACAGAGGTAATGATAGATCAATGTTTCAACTACTACGAAATCTAATTTCGAAAATAACAAAAATATATGAGTCGGTGAATAAGAAATTCGTTACTAACGATATTAATGGGGTTTATTGTCGCTGTAGCAAGTAATTAAACGTTTTAGTACAAGAAAGCAGTACATGACAGATTGACACGACAAATATACATAAATTTTTGTAGCAATGTCAATCAAAATTGAGTTTATTGTGGAATTAAATTTTACGCTAATAATTTTGAATACTTTAATTAATAAAAAAATTTATTAAGTCATATTGCACTGCTAATTTTATGTATCAAACATTATAATAATTTTATGTATGCTATCTATATAATATAATGGTTTTTGTATTGACGTAAATATGAAGTCATGGCGTAGGTACCAGATTTAATAAATCCTAACTTTTTGGTATTTAATTAAGTGACAACTATTTAATCTATGCCTTGCTATAATGTTGTATTTTTTATCATTTGTATCTCTTATTAATAAAAAGTATTAATAAAATTCAATTTTGGTTTTACTACACTATGCGCACAATCTCATTGCAAAATATTACATTTTATACGAGCCTTACCTGGCAAAAAGTGTGGGATCCTCTAGTAGAAGATGAAAGTCGTTTTCAGAACTGACCTCGCGGTCTCTTTGATGTACTGCACATCTATAGCTGCGCGTACGCTTGCCGCTCATCTAAAAAAAAAGAATTAATCATTTATGAATAATCTATACTTAATATTTTATAAAGAGGTAAAGTTTGTGACATTGTGAGTTTGTGACGTTGTAAACCCCTTACAACGTCACAAATCTCTCGATATACTGAACCGATTTAGACGAGATTTGGTAAGAAGATAGTTTAAGTCCCTGGGAAGGACATAGGATACTTTTTATCCCGGAAATCATTCCTTAAGGAGGTGAAAATGGGGATAAAAGTCTTGTATATGGAATCAAGATAGCTAGTTACTTATAAAAAAAGTTTGTTATATTTCATTACTTAAAAATCAATACAATTTTATGTGAAACTGTTATACAAATTATAAGTATACCTAGTTATAGAAATAATTGATTGGTAAGTTATTGCATCCTTTACATATTAAAATGTAGGTCAGAATAGGGAATTATTCAATGAAATAATTTAACTAACCGCATTAACGTACGAATACTTGTTCACAAGAAAGATACTAACCGGTAAATAAGTTGACAAATGTTTACGCCAAATGCGTAATGCAGTGAACAATACAAGTGTACACTATAAACATGTAAATCAATACAAATATGAAATAAAATAATAAAGTAGTTAAAAAAGTAAGTTTCTACGGCAGCAGATATTTTAAAATTTGTGATAGGATATCAAATAAGAACAGTTTCTGGTATTTTATTATATGTACAATGTACATAATGACTGTACAATTAAGCTCGCATCATTGTAAAACTACGGTTTTAACCCATTAGTCCGTCCACGACCACGGACACGCCGGCGTTACAGTTTAATTTACCTGGAGGTGTTAAGCATACCTTATTTTTTTACTTACAAAATAATGTTTACATTACTTTCATTTTAACTTATTATAAACATCCAAATATATACTTTTAGCTGTCATGTTTACTGGTTCGAAAAAAGTTTAAATATTCCAGTCAATCAAAGGCAGAAGTGATTTTATAAACTAAATATTGGATTAAAATGACTGATTTAAACTACAAAAATATTAATTAAAATATGTGTATTTTTATATATGTATTACTCTTTTGCTTGGCTTTTTATAAAGAAAATGTAAAAAGTGGGTAAAATTATCGCCTTGTCATCCTATTGCTTCGTCCGCTACGAATTACAAACAATCGATAGAAACAAAATAAGTACTTATGTTCATGTAGAGTCAATAATGCTGTAATTAAATTAGATTATAAAATAATTTTTTCTAGTATCAAGCAAAAATTAATGCGAACAGGTTTTAAGTAGCTTTAAGTAAATAGAATACTATTACAAAGAGACAAGTTATAGCATTCACATGGCTTAATTTTATTTTGCAAATAAGTATAATAATTACATACGAACTTATAAAGATAAAGAATATATAGAGTTACGATTAACTGTAAATTCGAAAATATCTCAACTTCATGAGAAGTTTTCATTGAATGAGACGAAATATAGTTGCTTTGTAATTATAGTTTTAGAAACTAAAAGAATTATAATAGTCGTAGTTTTTTTCTCATTTCCTGGCAAAAATTAGTTTTTATATATAAAATAATAGAGCTAGCTGGCAGTTAAGCGTCGCGAGGGTGGATTAATGTCACGTCGGCAGTCGGCACAGTTCGCGGGCCGGCGGCGGCGATGGCGACGGCGGCTAGCTGGCGCGCGTCCAGGCCTATCGAGTTATCGACCGCCACCCTCGTGACAGCATCGACATCGATAAACACATTAGCCGCCTTTTCCGCTTATTTTAAGGCTATCGATATTTTAAGCGTTGTATGCATATGAAGGACTGTAAACTATTTTTTCCGTAAAAAAAATGATTTTTGATTTAATTTTATTTCCGTTCACTGCATCTTACCCCGCGTAATATGCTGAATGGTCGCAATATGATATAATATTAGATATATTATGACTAATATTATGCAGAGTTTTACGTGACTATATTAGTCGAAAGTTTTCTTTTTAGTATTATCGGGAACATTTACATGTTTTTTGTTAGGGAAGACTTATAGGGGTTAGGGGTATGCATTTTTTATTGCCAATGCGAAAAGCATTCGTAAAGACAGGTAGGGTTGGAATCCCGTAGCTTGCAGTACCCATTTAACATGTACCTATAAACATTTGAAATATTCATGCATAAGATAATAAAACAACAAAAATGAATAGTTAACGTACGTAAAGCTAGCCGTAATAAGTACGTTTATGAGTAAGTTCGCGGTTATGGGTTCGCGGTGGTAAAGAGCAGGTCGCAGGTGGGCGGCGCGGGCGGTACGCCGGTGAACGACTGGTCCGTGCCTCGAGCCGGCCCGCAAGCCGTTGCAATCCACCGTATTGTCTCCGCAGTCGTTCAACTCAGTTTCCCACGACACTGCGAATGTCCAATGCCAAAACCTAAATAGCCTAGACGCGCCGCAGACGCCGGCTATATCTGTCGCAGCAACTGGTTATACTGTATATACCTAGTTCTGATTTTGAATATGGTGACGCATTGTCAAGTATGTAATTACTAATTGTACAACATTAATACAATATCATATGACACAATACATATTTTAAATAATTTAAACTCATGTAATCTATGAACTATAATCAATCCAAAATGGTACTTTTTTTATCGATGCAATCCAAACATATTTTTAAATACAGATCTCAATTATGTAATAAGTCATTACAAAATAAAAAAAAATCGCTAAGCAACTCGAAATCAAGTTGTATAAAAAAAAATATTTAACATTTATCGATGTTGTGATAGAACAATAAATCGATTTTCCGCAGGTATTGCGCGGGCTGGGCGCCAGTGGGCGCAGTGAATCCAGCGTGGGTGCCGCGTGAGTCACTCCGACATCCGACACGTCCGATTCGTATCCGGAACCACTAACTAAGCACTATTGCAGTCTCGTCAAAGAGCGCGCGAGCCTACGCGACGCGATACTCATTTCAATAACCCACATTATTATTCGTAAACTCATACAATACTATCGAGCGCGTGCTACTTGATATGTTTATAATATTTTTTTTCTCATTTTTAGCTATTTAAAGTTTATTCAATAAAACTATTTTCGCCTCAACTTCAGGTAGGAAATGACTCGCGCGCTGATTCAATAATGCTATGATGAATGTTTTAGTGCGCATAAGGATATGGCAGAATTTTATGGTAAGAATCTTCAGTTTTCTCTAATCTAAATTTGTATGAAATTAAAAATCGCGCAACTTCTGATTTAATTAAGATATTTTAATTGTATAGACAATTAAAGTATGCGCATTTCCTCTAATCACTAAAAGTTAATAGCTTCTTTAAAAGCATATCACTAAATGGGAAGTTATCATCTAAATCTACCACATTAAAGTTGGATTTTAGCGTGGTTCTGATGTGCTGGGCACGTGAACGCTGGGAGCGTTCCCACGCGCCCACCTCCGCACTATTATGTTCTAATCTCTTAGAGTCAGTCTCTTTGCATTATTACGATGCCGTGAAAGTACGTTGTACATTTTGCAAGCGAGAAGGCCAACAACTTAATAATTTGTCGAATTGGATCATCGAAAAAAAATACAGATATTTGCCTATACATAATTTACAAAATCAATTTGATTAATTATTTACTGTTTCCAAGCTGCTCCTTGCTTCCTTATTAGATTGATCAAACTAGTGTCTTAAAATAAAAATAACTAATATTTTAATTTATAATATATAAGTGGCAATAAAATGTGTATGTTCCTACTGAATCCGGACATAAGATTTAACAGGATAAATGATAAAATTCATATCCATACTTAATAATACTATAAATGTGAAAGTATGTTTGTTTGTCCTTCTTTCACGTTGAAACGGAGTGACGGATTGGCGTGATTTTTGTGTGGAGATAGTTGGAGGGCTGGAGAGTGACATAGGCTACTTTTAATCGTGGGAGATTTTCTCATTCCCACGGGAAAACACGTTATATAATATATAGTCTATCTATTACATATGTACTAACCGTTAAAACGTAGGACGAACCTGAGCGAAGCGAGGGTGAGCCGCTAGTTAATATATAAATTCTATAAGGGCAATTAAGTTAAACAGTTAAACTGGCAGGGTTTTCTAAATACTATAATTTTAGATAGTCATAACTCAGAACATTAATGTAATTTGGGATAGTTTGTTTGTTACCTGTGATTTTCCTTTAAACGGCGGTAACAGAGAAAAGGAAAAAGGTATCAGACTAATACATATAAGTACTATGCCACTGTATAAAGAGGTAAGTACCTGTGTACCTAGCGGAGCGCGGACAAATTCTATTATTTTATTCATGGTCTCTTGTTCTTAATTTGTTGGGATAAAATCGCGGTTATAGCTACGAGAATTATCACCTCCAGGTAAATTTCTAAGAAATAAATTAAATTTCTAAGAAATCTATTGATAACTGTAACGCCGGCGTGTCCGCGGTCGTTGAGGGATTATTAACATTATTTTTCATCTGCTATGCCCAGAATAACCTATATAGTTTCAGTTATTTTCATACTTTTTAGCGTCCCACTACACGGCTTAGAACGGGTCTCTTTGCAATGAAAAGGGAATTAGTGAATAGTTTACCAATATAGCTAAATACGAAGTTTGCCGTAACCATAGCAAGTGGTATATATGTTGAAGATGAAATTGACACATGGAAATTTCAGATGAAAGAGTCGGGTTTGAACCCACCTCACTTGGTTTTTCGAGCGAACAAGTTCAAGTTAAATTATTATTAACTATTTAAAATATTTTACGTATTTTTCACGTAAAACTCATTATTTTCCGGGAGGTAAATAACTATAAACTAAGTTGCCTGAAAAGTTTTATATTAGTTTGTAAGAAACCCGTACATATTGGTGCGGCCGCTTAAAACATACACATTTTATCCGGTAACTTGTTGTGACATGTTTATACCGAAACGATCTCAAAAGTTATTGCATCATATTATTCATCAATAAAACTAAAGAAGGTATAAAATAAACCTTCAACAATGCTTTCGATCATTCACGTACAATCAAAGGTATGTAGGCTGTAGTTTTTGTTTCAGTAGCTCAGTATTGATTTCATGTTACTAATTTTACTTCAGAGCTTGTATATCGTTCAAAGACGAGTAGGTACAGTGTACAAACTCTACTGCTCATATTAAATGGATTGCAACCTATGTATATAGCAAGATATTTTAATTTAGAACTAAACTTTGGCACTTTTTTATCATTTATTGCAAATATTTAAACGAAAATTATAGTAACTATTAAAATTTTGTAAATATCGATATTAGCTAATACAATATACCTTTACATATTACACATGTACTTCGTTAGACGATTACATTTATGTTGCAATCTAATTATTATTAGGATACTATTTTATGTTTCACTGCATGCTAGTGTGCTACTAATGTATTCTTCTTTTTTAAATAATCTTATTTATAAGTAAATATTAATATGTATATCAAATAGATAAAATATTATGATATCTATTTAAATTATAAAAGCACAATGTGTGAATAAATATAATTTATTCTTCTAAGCAAAAATTATTAAAGTATTCTGAAATGTCATTATAATCGATATTATACTAATTGTAAGTGACAAAATCGATATTTACTAATGTTAGTTATTAAGGTATAAATTACGTTTATATATAAATAATATATATTATTATATTGAATTGAGATTGAAAATAATATATTTCTATAATAAACTGTCAAAAAATAAGCCACTATTTTAAACTTACCCATTATGTATGTTATTTTTATTGTTTTCTTGCAACGTAAATTAATGTTCGTTAAACCATAGATTAATTTCACAACACCTTGTAAACGTCACTATGAAATGAGGTAGATAAATACTTGTTTAAATAGTTTTGGTTAGTTAATATTTTATCGACGTTAAATACGCGAACATTAGTAGCAGAAGTGGGGAGCGTGCGTAACACAACCTCCCCGTCTGAAGGCTCAGCGCAAACTGATTTTGCCGATGATCGTCTGCCGAGTTTAGTTACATTCGGTCGGCCGCATAGACGTTTTTTACTGTCAGAAGTGGTGGTTGGTATTTGAGAGGGTGGTTCCGGTTCCGAGGGCGTATAGTTTTTCAACTATTTTTTTGTCGGCTTAGGTATTAGTCTATAACGATGCACAAATTTTATTTATATATTAGTTAAAATTGAAAAGTAATCAGTGTAAGAAGTGAAAAAGAAATACCTAGTATTTTCAGTATTGACTTTAGAAAAACCTATTATATACAGCCTAACGATCCGTCTTTTATCCAAGTTGATTTAGCAGCCTGTATAAATAATAATTTTTCAATTTAGTATATTCTTCAAAATTTTCCCAATTTCCAACATTAAGTTAAGTTGATTTAGAAAATCCAAAAATATTTTCAGAAAGAAAAGAGCGTTCAATGACTTAAATTTTTTCATGAAAAAACTAGCGACTCACCCTCGCTTCGCTCGGGTTCGTCCCTAGCTGCTTGCTTCCCAATACAAACTTTCATCTCCATTTTTACCCCCTTAAGGGATAATTTCCGGGATAAAAAAATCTGCTTCCCAAATTTCATCTAAATCGGTTCAATAGTCCCGGAGATTACCCCCCACAACGTCACAAACTCACAATGTTATAAACTCACAAACTTTTACCTCTTTATAATATTAGTAGATATAGAGTAAAAGGAGATCCGGAGCGTTGTACATTTTTGACAATACTTATTAAATTATTTTGAGATAGAACCTTCGAAATACTAAATATAATAGATTCTACAAAAACATTATATTTTATTTATTTATTTACTTACAAAGTAACTTAATAAGAATACCCTTTTCAGGTAAATTAAAAACAACTCTTAAGAAAAAAAAACACAGACGGTAAATATAATGTTATTTCTAAATTGCTTTATGCTAAAATAAGAAAACTTAAAAATATACCTTGGATAATTGTTTCTTAATAATAGATACTTTCTATTATAATCTATTATCTTACTATTTTTTGTGTCCGACATCTGCAGAAGATGAAATTTTAACAGTGTTTAATGCAAAATAGTAATCCATTCCAGATGTTAAGTATATTATGGATAATGAGCGTAACAGAGAATGGGAGCGTTGCTCAGGTAAAATGTTAGGAAAACCGAAAAAAGCCCATATCAAAATAAATAAAAAAATAATAATAATCAAAAAATAAATATAACAACATATCAATATCATATAAAAACAATTGCATATGTATTTCAATTTAAAATATCATTTTTTGTAAGTATGAAACAAATAAGGATCAGAAATAATAAATTTTATAATTGTGATATTATAGTAAACATAATAAAAGTAATAATACTTATTAATCGACATAGCATGATATCAATATACTCGAACGTATACCCATAATAATTATGCTAATATTTCAGACCCTGCCGTAACAATAAAATTAAAATTGGCATTTTGAATGCAAACAACTGTCGGTTCGGCAAAAATGCTTGATCCCCGCAATGACATTTCACGCTTTGTTAACAATTCCCTAAGAGCTTATCAGTCGACACATGGGCTAGCTATTAGTAAAGCCAGGTGGGCGCCAGGAGGTTAATTTGACCAATATTTATTCGCAAGATGGCGTCAACACAAATCGTAAGTCATTACGACCGTCATTCGGTGAGGTGCCTCTGCTAATGGGCTTTGATGTCTGATATGGCTAAATTAATTATTTGTATATTTTTTTAAATGTTATCGGAGGGATATAGTCATAATGTTTTTCTTTTACAATTTTTACATTTACCGTTTTTTTTTAGTTTTAATGTTGTTTTGTTTTAGTTAAAATAACGATACGAAGTATCTTTTCCAAGTCTAGTCACTGGAAGTCATTAGGAAATCATTGACTGTAGCTATTTTGGTTTATTTAAACAAACCTGACCTGCCCCTGTTTAGTTTCTGTCAGAATCAGATAAACTAAAGTATTATTAAATACATAAAAGTAAGAAATCTTTGGAGTTAAATGTAAGTTAAGTTATCCAAGGCTACCGAATATTTACTTTTTAATTTTTTGTTAGGAGAGTTTTTGGGGTGTAGGTAATGAAAACCAAATTAAACTTTTTGTATTTTATCCGTGTTATTGTTGTAGCTAATTACTTGAATATAGGTTTTGACTTTTGCAAGGGCCTTTTTTATTAAATAGACTTAAATTAAAAACATAGTTAAAGCATGTTTTATATCAATCTAGATGACGATCTAAAAACCACAACTTAAAGTTCTAAGCTTTATCTAACAGTCTAAATTAATTATGTTACTTCGTGTTTATGGAATAAATATGTAGATACAGACACGCGAAAGATGCCGTATAACAAGGTTACAGTAGTTCTTCGTAGGCGACTTTGATGTTTAAATTTCTTACAAGTACGTTTATAAAGAAAAAAATTGTAAAAAAAGTTGTACAGAAAAAATACAGTTTGAAATTTTTTCAGTAATTTTAAATTAAATAAAACCCTTCAATCCTTTTAAACTCTGTTAAATCGTAGAAATATACTGTCAAAGTTAGATTTATAAGTTTAGCGGATTGGTTGATGACTATGTCAGGGCAAATAACTTTTTGCCTATTCATAGTAGATAATATTATTATTTACAAGTAACAGTACTTCGATGTACCTTGTGCGCGTTAGTAAACGACCGCAGCATATGGTGTAGCCTGTAGTATAATTATCAAAATGCTCGATAATCCGCTTCAAACATACACTCATTCCCCTTTTTTTCTTGCTTCCGGTATTTTTGTACAGTCATTATTAGTAGGTTCATGTATAACCATATTTTTCTAAAATATCACGATACAAATACTGGAAAAATTAAACGTATAAATCAGTCGGCCCCTATTAGTATTATCATTTAAAATTTAACTTTATGTATAGTATTTGAATAATAGTCTCACAACTTGTCGCTTGCTTCATATACAATTAATATATATGACAACTATCAATTGCTTCATAATGGTTTGTTTTATAATTTTCACTATTTTTCGGATGATTTAAACGTAGAACTAACCCAAAATCAAGGATATACAGCGTGAAGAAAACAAATCTATAATCTCTGGTTTTGCAACTAGAGCAATAGAGAAGCTACTGCCTCTGAACTCAGAAGGTAATATTATATATCATTACGTGATTAGCAAATTTTTTTATCTTTATCAAAAAGAAGTTTGGTGGCTGACTAAAGCAAATTGGCCGCCGTCATAATTTGAACAAATCGATTTAGATCGGGCGCACATCAGGCGGCGCTTTTGTCCAATGATTTAGTAGCGCCGACAAATTGGGCCTTCCTGATCAACTTAAAACGATACATCGGTCCTGCACACAAACTGATGCAATTACTAGGATATGAATTTAAACGGTCGGTAATTTTTATAATTTACCCATCATATTATACTATTATAACGTTTAAAATATTGTATTATTATTAGGGCTTTTTTAAAATATTTAGTCTTATAACATTTTTAAAGTGGATCTAAAATATGTGTAAACACTGATGTTCTTTTTACTATTTCTATATACATAGGTAGTATACGTTTTAGCATAACGAAAAAATTGTTTGTGGATCAAGAGTCAAGACGAGAAAGTGACTAAATCAGTGATTCATATATTACACCACGTTACGCACGTCTATTGCTAAAGTGACTGACCGGCCTTGCTGCTCTCATTATTCGAAATTCGGTTACGTTGTTGATGCGTGTATTTACTAATCATATTATTAAGAAATGTGACCAGAGCTTTTTTAGTGTTCCACGATAGCATTAGTTTAGTGTAAATATTTAACGCTATGGTTTTGAAAAAAAAATATAAGTATAACTATACTAATACACTTTTTATAACGTTGCGTGCTATAAACCATAATGTATTATTCCAAAATCCATTCATCAGTCAAAATAAACAGAAAATCTTTCCATATAACCATGCCCATTTCCATAAAATTGATTGGTAAAAGGGGAAGTTCTGTGAATAATAACCTGGAGGGTAAGGATGCGTGGTGCAATGATCTGGACACGCATCCGCCAATATCTTAATATATTGCTCTATTAAAAAAAAGTTTTGTATGTAACATTTGCTATTTTTATCATATATTCAACAATGGCAGTATATATTATTTAATTGTTTTAATTAATTTAAATCATCTTCCTAAAAAAAAAATATCCGTTTTAAGACAAATCTGTATCCTGTTTATTGCGGACGAAATGTTGACCGGGCTTTATTTAAAAATTAGAATGAGAGAGGCACGAGCGCCCGCGGCTGCGCTACTGACTGCACAGTACATGCACCTACAGTTCGTATTATGGCTCTTGGTTGTTATTAGCTAACACGCAATGCTTAACCGTTTATTTAATTTTACTTATAAATTTTTAAATCTCAAACAATTTAGTTATTTTAGTAATGCACGTTGTTTTTGTAATTGTTCGATTGTAGAATTTAAATGCTAATATAACTAATTATGAAATATTATAAAAGACTATCAGAAACAATTTAAAATGAGACAATTATTTCATTAAGATTGTTATTTTTGTCCTTAATGAAAATTTGACCTTATTATGAGTAGATACATATTCTAAATTCAAAAGAACAAGTGCGCTCATGTTTTTTATCTGCATTCTCTATATTACATTTCTCTCTCATATCTTCTTCGTTAACGTTTTCATTATTATAAACCAAACATTAAAGCCTGAACAAACATACACATGTTTCTTACTTGTTGTATTTAATTATTAAATAGATACCTACGCATATAAGATTAAACCTACGTGATTCCTTTTGCAAAAGGGCTTAGGTTATGGCTTCAAGTCACGGTAAGTATCTACCTACTGGATTATTGGCTCATTTTACTCATAATGTTATCTCGGGAAGGTTTTTATTTAGTTTACGTACCTATGTCTATACAATAATGTTATTATCTATAATGTAAACTAAAATTATAAAGACCTATAACTTTTGAAGTGTAGAGTAAGCTCTCTACACTGCTCTGATTCAAAAAAATACTTTCATAGTTGTAACTATATACCTACATATATGGATGTAGGGCAGTGGTAGAACAGTGATAGCCAACTTGCTTGGGATACCGAGTGAATCTGATTCAAATCCCGAGCCGCGCATCTCTTATATTATTATCATATGTGAATCATTTTCCAACATGGTTACCACTTGACTTACGGTGAAGGAAAACATCGTGAGGAAACCTGCATGGCTGAGAGAACCTAGCAAGTTTCCCAAAGACATGTAAAATCCGCCAACCCGGATTTGGTCAGCGTGTTGGACTGTGGGCTGACGCCTCTCGTATTGAAGGGAAGGCCGTGCTTAGCATTGGGACGTTAAATAAGACTGAGTACAACTGCATAAGCCTGAGCGATTAGTTTTTATTTTAATACATTAAATTGTTTCTTAAAGATATTAGTTATATACAAATAATTATACGGTGCGCGCGGGGTGTAGTTGAGAGTCCGAGGGAACGTACCTACTCGCAGATTTTGACCGACTATAAAAAAGAGCCGCTACTCAATTTCGTCGTGTGTTGTTGATATCTTCGTCTATTGACGAATCGTCGCAATATTTTGTGAATCGATTTTCATTTTTGTAATATAAAGGATATATCTTAAGGGGATTATCTAATGGGGTCAACCATATAAATTAACTAGCCCTAAAGGCGGATTAAATTGAAAATTTACTTTACCTTATAAACAAAAATGTACTAGGAATTTTTTTTAGTTATAAAGTAATATACATATATATGTAGATAATTAATATGGAATACAAGGGTGCAAACAGCTTTATTTAGATTGTAGCTTTTGCATTAATATATATATTTTTTCTGACGACAGAATTGACATTAAAATAAAATAAAAATTAATACTTTCTTAGATTTACGCGAATGTTTGACATTATTAAATAAAACTATCTTTTCGGATTATTTCGCGGATTTATTTTGATTTTTGGTTCCCGACGTTTCGAATGCTTTACAGCATCCATGGTCACGGGAGAGACTGAGGTGTTACATGTCTTAAAGATATAGTTGTTACAGACAACCTACCCACAATTAACAAAATGAAAATTGCACCAATTACATTACAATATTTTTAACTTTAAACATTTTTTATAATTTTAATTATAATTGAATATGGAAAATTATTTATTTAATTTTTGCTATTATTTTTATAATTATTACAATTTTAAAAATATTAATTAGTAATCTAAATTTAGTGTTTCCATTATTATATTTATAACCATAAATAAAAATATAAAAATATAGTATTAATTATTAAAGCCATATAATTGTTCTATGTGTAATTTAAAAAAGTTAAAATTAATTACGGATAATCATTTTAATTTAGTTTGCTATTATTTAAAAACAACTTACTAAGCAACACTATTAAAATATACTTTTACAAATTGTAAATAGTATATTTATTATAATTGTAATAGATAGTTTTATTTAATAATAAAAATTGTTCTAATATCATTGAAAAGGTTTACTATCCATTGTCTGGATTTATTATCAAGTCAGCTCCATATTATATTATTAAATCATATGTTACACTAGCGGCTCACTCTCGCTTCGCTCGGATTCGCCTCTAGGAAAACAAAAACAAACCTATCCCACGTGAACCGTACATTTTTCCGGGATAAAAAGTAGCCCATGTGTTATTCCAGACTATAATCTATCTCTGTGCCAAGTTTCATCAAGATCCGTTCAGCCGTTCTGGCGTGAAAGAGTATAAAACATCCATACTCACACACGTTCACATGTCTTATATTTATACAGATTACCTTCCGGATTTTACCTACTTGCAAAAGGTTCAAATACTCTTGGATGTGACTGCAAGAAATTGGTTAAGCTCAAGAGTCCACTTCAGAGATCCAATTACATGGTTCGTTTATTAATTACAAGAGAAGTTAATAAAAACGATTTGAAAAACGAAATAATAACAAAACATATGTTCCATATAATAGAAATATATTTTGTTTCAACCGATATTATATGCGATTACTCAGACATTGACATCTTAAACACAGGATTGTTACCGTTAACAATGGATGAAACTATTTATTATGATTAGATGTTTTTATCAGAGAATGAATGTGACTTCTCAGATCCTCACGTATACATATACTCGTAGGTATTAATTATAGTTAGAAGTTATAAATGGATACTAAATGACTGCATGTGCAGAATAATTTCTATCCTATTTAAGCTAATATAAATTATTTTTGAATAATAATAATGAAATCTTTATACCAAGAAAATATAATAATAAATAAATACAGAAAAGATAGATAATGTTCAAGAGGCGGCCTTATCGCTAAAACAGCGATCTCTTCCAGGCAACCTTTAGGTTTAGGAAGTAACAAACTGTAAGAGGAAAGGGGTGCAAATAATTGAGTTATTTCAACATATGTATATAATATTATATAAAAAAGTAGAATACAGAAAAAAACTTACTAATAGATATACATACATATATACATACATACATATTATACTAGCAGAACTCGCGGCTTCGCTTGCGCTAAAATTACAAAAAAAATATCTAAATAAGGTAGTTTTATACGAACTTTCATCCCCTATTTTACCCCCTCATAGAATGAATTTCGAAAAATGTTAAAACACGCATTTATTTTTATTGAAGCGCATTAATACCAAGTTTC